CAATATATCTTTTTACAGGAAAAGTTAGCTTGCCCTTTAAGCCACTCACTGTCACATTTCAAAACGTGCAGTATTATATTGAAACTCCTCAGGTAAGCATTGTTTAAGATCAGTATGAATGTTTGAGATACTAAATTCTCAAACAGAGCACAAGTTTACATGGGACTCACGTTCCTTTTAGGGAAAGACGCGGCAACTTCTCTCTGATATTACAGGCGCGTTGAAGCCCGGAGTTCTCACGTCTCTAATGGGTGTCAGTGGAGCAGGGAAAACGACTCTTCTTGATGTCCTTTCTGGAAGGAAAACCCGCGGTATCATCAAAGGAGAGATCAAAGTAGGCGGGTATCCTAAGGTTCAAGAAACATTTGCACGAGTATCAGCTTACTGTGAACAGTTTGATATTCATTCTCCTAATATAACTGTGGAAGAGTCTTTGAAATATTCTGCATGGCTTCGACTCCCCTATAACATCGATTTAAAGACAAAGAACGTAAGTAATCACACTCTCAAAAAGAATTTACTACAAGAAACTGGCAGCAATTTATCTAACTATATCCAAGATCTGGCTTCAGGAACTCGTCAAAGAAGTCCTCGAGACAGTTGAGCTTGAGAATATCAAAGATTCCATGGTGGGACTTCCTGGAATAAGTGGTTTATCTACAGAACAACGCAAAAGGCTGACTATAGCCGTGGAGCTTGTTGCTAACCCTTCCATCATATTTCTGGATGAACCTACCACAGGGCTGGACGCAAGAGCCGCAGCCATTGTTATGAGAGCTGTGAAAAATGTTGCTGAGACTGGGAGAACGGTTGTTTGCACGATCCACCAGCCGAGCATAGATATCTTTGAGACATTTGATGAGGTAAAATGGCTGAAATCATTAATTTAACCACATAATCTAAACTTTGATCCCCTTAGAAGCTTCTTATTCCCTTAATTGCAGCTGATCCTGTTGAAAGATGGGGGACATCTTGTCTACTATGGTCCTCTTGGAAAACATTCAAGTAAGGTTATCGAATACTTTGAGGTCAGTTTCTCTACAATACTAGACTAGTTCAATCTTGGCAGGGTTCTTGATTGAAAAAAAATAACTTTTAGAGTACTGTACATTAACAGAGCGTCCCTGGAGTTCCAAAAGTTCAAAAGAATTGTAATCCAGCCACTTGGATGTTAGATATTACTTGTAAATCTGCAGAGGACAGACTTGGAATGGATTTTGCACAAGCATACAAAGATTCAACTCTGTACAAGTGAGTCTTTATGCGGCAATCCTCATAATGTTTGTATGTGTGCGTTTAAACTATCGTTCTTAGTGCCTGGTTGTTCGGTCTTTTTGTTCAGGGAGAACAAAATGGTGGTTGAGCAACTGAGTTCTGCGTCTCTGGGATCAAAAGCTCTGAGCTTTCCTTCGCGTTTTTCACAAACAGGTTGGGAGCAACTAAAGGCTTGCCTTTGGAAACAACATTGCTCGTATTGGAGAAACCCTTCGCATAATCTCACTCGCATAGTCTTCATAATGCTCAATTCTCTGTTATCTGGCCTTCTCTTCTGGCAAAAAGCTAAGGACATGTAAGTCTCTGTTCCCCATTTCGAAGTATGATTGTTTGCAACCAAATTGTGGAATCACTGCATTTCCTTTTTTGGGGGTATAGGCGTAAAGCTCGAACTAAAGTGCTTTGAGTCTTTTTAATAAAAAAATTTGTTTGTTTATGATGGGTGAAACACATAGCTTAATATGAAACTCGTACCAAAACGTTCAGGTTCCAAAAACATTTTGTTTACTAAATCTACAAAACTTTAGTTTGATATTTATATGGTTATAAGTCTCCATCAATACCCCCAAAGTTTCAGAGATCAAGAGAACTATGTTAATTAATGAGATTCCCTTTACTTTGCAGAAATAATCAGCAAGATCTTTTCAGCATATTTGGCTCAATGTACACTCTAGTAATCTTCTCAGGAATAAACAACTGTGCGACAGTGATGAACTTCATTGCAACTGAACGCAATGTTTTCTATCGTGAAAGGTTTGCGCGGATGTACTCCTCATGGGCGTATTCATTTTCTCAGGTTAAAATTTTTCCATTGTAACTTGGGTTTTGTCAACTTTTAAGAAATAGATCTTATAGCTTCCACTCCTATTGGATGAATGCCAATATTTTTTTAGGATTGCATCCACTGGCTCTATACATGATCCAGGTACGTAATGTTTTGCAGGTCCTAGTTGAGGTTCCATACTCACTACTCCAGTCCCTACTATGTACTATCATTGTATATCCTATGATCGGCTACCATATGTCTGTTTACAAGATGTTTTGGAGCTTGTACAGCATCTTCTGCTCGTTACTTATCTTCAACTATTGTGGGATGCTTATGGTTGCTTTGACGCCAAACATTCACATGGCATTAACTTTACGCTCAACTTTTTTCTCCATGGTGAATCTGTTTGCTGGCTTTGTCATGCCAAAACAGGTAATCCCCTTATCTCTCACTCCGTTTTTACATACAGCCAAAATCGGAAGTATGTGCCATGGAACCTGTGGTCTTGTAAACCTATTGCATCAATAGTCAATAGGCTTAATTAGAGCTATGTCAAGTCTAGCTGAGTCAAAGTGTTGCTGCATTGTATATAACCAATTCTTGTACCTTGGATTGAAATGAAGTTTCAGACTCCTAAACACGGAAAAAATGTTATCGTTTTCCGCAGAAAATCCCAAAATGGTGGATATGGATGTACTACTTGAGCCCGACATCGTGGGCATTGGAAGGATTACTGAGTTCACAGTATGGAGATGTGGAGAAAGAGATAATAGTATTTGGAGAGAAGAAGAGAGTTTCAGCTCTCTTGGAGGACTACTTCGGTTACAAACATGACTCCTTGGCTGTTGTAGCGTTTGTTCTCATCGGTTTTCCTATTATCGTTGCTTCTCTTTTTGCCTTCTTCATGAGTAAACTCAATTTTCAAAAGAAATAGTTTGTAACAATTGCAGCTTTACTTCAGTTAGGCTTTTCTTTCTCATATGTTATTAATCAGAAACGTTTTAAATTTTCTATAAATTAGTCACAAAAATGGCCCTGATAATCCCATATTGGATCTAACCGGAAAAAGCCGATTTTGAGCAAACAATAATATTGAAGCAAACAAGAACATTTTTTGAGAAGTGATTTCAGCAGCAAAAGTCGAATCTTATCAAGAAAATTCTTGAGAGGGTGGCTTGGTATTCAAATGTGGTATGGTATAAAATGTTCGACGTAATGATTCCAACGGAATTGGTTCGCGAAAGCAACCTCTACTGTGTCTGGTTTTAAACAAAAGAGAAAAATATATATATCCTTGGTGGAATATATGCGAGTAGAATCAGAGTAAACCGAAGTACTAATCAAGAAAGTAAAGTCCAAAAAATTACAAAAAAAGATCTAACTAGCTTTGAAAACAAGTTAGAGTTTTCTTTGCAAGTTGTGTATTTAAGGTTTTTGAGGTGCGAATTGTGGATGTGTTGGCTGCTCGTTTCTATTTATACTTCTTTCTTTAGGTCTTCGAAATTGCTATTATTTCTTATCTTTCGAGTCAAAATCTTCATGTCTTTTCTTTTCCGCAATATTTAGAGTATATTCAAGGTATTCCTTCCATTTTCCATTAATTGGATTTTTTTATAAGGCCGAACTTTTTACCCAAACATTCGGTTTATTCTTAATTCAAGTCTGAGTTAACCGGATGGTGCTAAATCACTCTCTTACAGAATCTACTACTATTCCCATGCAGATTACTAATAAAGTAATAATCCTGTATTTTTTTTTTTTATGAAAGAACTATAATTGTTACTGTTTGTAGGAAACCGGTTAGTAAAAACAGTTGGGAATGCCTTCTTGAATGATCCCCGGTGGTTGGTGAAGAAGGGTAATTGGTCGTCGACATGGAGGAGTGTGGGAATGGGTTTACGTGAGGTGGTATTACCGGGAATAAGTTGGGTGCTTGGAGACGGAAAGACAATCCGGTTTTGGACTGATAAGTGGCTCTTAGATAAACCATTAATGGAGCTGGCTTCGCAAGTGGTTTTGTTGGAAGAGCGGGACATACGAGTTCGGGATGTTTGGCAGAATGGGTGTGGTTGGGATTTTACACGCATTGGGAACTTGGTATCTCCGCAGATAAAGCTACAATTGGCAGCTTTGGTGGTGGATAATGTGACTGGTGCGGTTGACCGGGTTTCGTGGGGGGGGGACTTCGAATGGTCAGTTCACTGTAAAGTCAGCTTATGCTTTCCTTACACAAGATGATTCGCCGAGACAGTGGATGGGGAAGCTTTTCCGGCGGGTGTGGCGTGTCAAAGTTCCGGAGAGGGTTCGGGTTTTCTTCTGGCTGGTGGTTAATCAAGCAATTATGACGAATGTTGAGCGGCATAGGCGGCATCTTTGTGAGTCGGGTTCATGCCAGGTTTGTAAGGCTGGTGAGGAGACCATAATTCACATTCTCCGCGACTGTCCGGCAATGGCCGGAATCTGGCTGCGCTTAGCACCACCAAGGAAGAGACAGGCTTTCTTTACGAAGTCAATTCTGGAATGGGTATATGAGAACTTGGGAGAGGAGGAAGACTTTGTCGGGAGCCCTTGGTCCACAACTTTTGCTATGGGAGTGTGGTGGGGATGGAAATGGCGGTGTGGCAATGTGTTCAATACTAATGGGAAATGCAGGGACAGGGTGAAGTTTGTTAAAGAGATGGCCAAGGAAGTATCCAGCGCCTTTGGTTCAGCTGCGGGGTCCGGACATGGTCAAATGAGAGAAGCAAGGATGATAGCTTGGAAACCGCCAGAGAGTGACTAGGTTAAATTAAATACAGATGGAGCTTCTCATGGTAATCCGGGTAGAGCGACGGCAGGAGGAGTCTTGCGAGATAGCAGTGGGAATTGGCGGGGTGGTTTCGCTTTGAACATTGGTATATGTTCGGCGCCTCTTACATGAAGGTAGGTAATGATAGATTGAACTTCTTCGGTTAAAACGTTAGCAATCTCAATTTTTCCTTTACCTTTGCTATTGCAGGCAATATCTGTTGAAGGTTTGAAAAACAATTTGCAAACTGACTATATCCTAAAGGTTTGGACTAGTTTTCTTTCAGGATTCTGTTTTCCTCTTCTGACCACTTATCCGTAAGCTGCATTTGATATAATTTCATGAATCCATTTCCAGATCCTAGGACTCGATATCTGTGCAGATACACGAGTTGGAGATGCCACGAGACCTGGAATATCTGGTGGCCAAAAGAGGAGGTTGACAACAGGTACTTTCGCTTTCTTACAGCCAAGTCACAGTCGTCTGGTTAGACTTTTTTAAATATATATATGTCGACTGTAGGGGAACTCGTTGTGGGTCCAGCTACTACCTTGTTCATGGATGAAATATCGAATGGTTTAGACAGCTCAACTACGTTCCAGATAGTGTCATGTCTCCAACAGATGGCACATATAGCTGAAGCCACCATACTGATTTCACTTCTTCAGCCTGCGCCAGAAACGTTTGAGCTTTTCGACGATGTGATTCTTATGGGGGAAGGAAAGATAATTTACCATGCTCCACGAGCTGATATCTGCAGATTCTTTGAAGACTGTGGATTTAAGTGTCCAGAGAGGAAAGGCGTTGCTGACTTCCTCCAAGAGGTATGGCTGTAAATTTGATCATTTTCCCTATCTATTTGATGGAGAACCTTATCCTTCACATGACTCTGTTACAGGTTATGTCTAGAAAAGATCAAGAACAATATTGGTGCCACAAAGGCAAGCCCTACAGTTATATATCTGTTGATTCATTCATTAATAAGTTTAAAGAATCAAATCTTGGGTTGCTGCTAAAGGAAGAACTGTCAAAGCCGTTTGATAAATCCCAGACTCGCAAGGATGGTCTATGTTTTAGAAAATACTCATTGTGTAAATGGGAGATGCTTAAAGCTTGTTCGAGAAGAGAACTTCTTTTGATGAAACGGACACTACAAGAATATTGGCTTTTAATAGCACAATACTATAGCGTTTTGTTCACATATGCTATTATAAGTATAAGGACGAGTTTAAGATAGCGTTTGTAGTTTTAAAAACGCTATTAATAAGTTTAGCAGAAAGAAAAATAAACACGCGCCTAATAATTTGGGTTTTTAATAGAAGAATTATCAGGAAACGCTATTAAAAGTGAACCGGGAAAACCTAAAAATAATTGGCCTTGAACCGGGAAATAAAAATATTTTCCCCCCTCTCTCGATTTTTTCTAAGTATCAAAGCTCTCTTAGACGAAAAAGTCTCAAAACACAAATGCTCTCTTCCAACACTTCGACTGATTCTCTCTTACCACAAAATCTCTCTTTCACTCAAGATTTCGTTTGATTCTGTCACTCACTATCATACTCGTTCTTAGTTTTACGGATTCTATTCGATTGGTGTTGAATCTCTCACTCGATTACAAACGGTATAGCTAATACTTTCATGAAATTTCATCTCGTTTTAGGGTTCTTAAAAGTAGTAATTGATTCCAGTCGATTATTACCTTTGTCTGCAGGAAGATTTCAGGTTATTTGTCACGGTCAAAGGTATGTTAGATTGTTAGGGTTTTCAATTTGGGTTTCAAATTGGGTTTTCGATTTGGGGATAATGTTCGATTTGGGGATAATTGGGGTTTTCAATTTGGTTCTTACTGTTTCTTTCTATTTGCAGAGAGCTCTGAAGCTTAGCTTGAATCCGTTTTCAGAAATGTAACAGTTTTCATACAAATAAAGTAACAATGGTTTCGCTCATGATCGATCAGTTGAAGCATTTGCCTTCAATTATTAAGGGTGGTCTCTTGAGCAGTAGCCAGGTGTGTGCCACAAATGTTCTTTATATTGAGGTCAATTTATAGTCTTTAGAAGTTTCTGATGGAGTCTGCTTTGGGATCGTTTTTCATTAGAGACCAGAGGAAGCAACAGAGACATTGCGGAAACTTAAAGAAGGCATAATAAAGGTGTGTTTCTACAGGGAAGTTCTGGATGGCTTACTTTTGATAAGACTGCTTGGTATTGTTTAAGGAGCCACGGGATAAACTTATGAATGTATTTTATTTGGAAATACATTCATTTGTGTCATGGGTTTGTTGTTTGATTTCAGGTTCTCTTTGTATCTCCCGAGAGACTTCTGAATCTAGAATTTCTGTCAATGTTTCGCTTGTCTTTATCTGTGTCACTTGTAGTCGTGGATGAGGCACACTGCATATCAGAATGGTGAGCTTCTTGGCAACTCATAGATTACGTTTCTCTGTTGACTGTAGTATGTTACTGCTTTTCTTTGATCTATTTTTCTTCGTTTATTAAGAGCTATTCTAAACAGGTCTCATAACTTCCGCCCTTCATACATGAGACTCAAGGCATCAATGCGGTTTTCTGAACTCAAGGCAGAATGCATTCTCGCGATGACTGCAACAGCCACTACTATGACTCTTGAGGCTGTCATGTCTGCACTAGAGATACCGTCAACCAATCTTATTCAAAAGTCAACCAATCTTATTCAACTTAATTATCTACAAAATATTTCACACTTACAAAATACTTTTAAACTTTGATTTCTTACTGTATCTTTCATGATACTAACTTAAGCAACTTTGTTTGTGTTTGCGCAGTATGAGACTGACATGATAAGCAAGTATTTATGCGATAACAACATCAATTCAAAGGTTGTTTCCATTTTGAAATCTCCAATATACCTGTATCTATGGCTAATTACACTCTAATCAAGCTTAGCTCGATCGAATTATCCAAGGTTATCACAGTGGTCTTCCTGCGAAAGACCGTGTTCGTATACAGGAGTCATTTTGTTCCAACAAGATTAGAGTGGTGAGAAAATAAGTTCACTGTTTTCCATACGCTCTGTGTCCAATTTACACATGCAAACTACCACTGAAAGTTAAGCAGATGACAGTAATCAAATATTTTCGTATGTTATTGAAGGTTGTTGCAACTGTGGCATTCGGCATGGGACTTGATAAGGGAGATGTTGGAGCTGTAAGTCTAACACAATCCCTTAGAATGCTTGAACATATATCTTCATTGTCTTGCAAATACCAGTTTAATTTGGGTTCTTAAGCTCTGTTTGCTTAGATTCCTCTGTCCTTAAGACAAATACATAGTAGCTGGTTTGGAGTTTTTGACTAATGTTTTGATATTGTACTAGTGCTATCTTTAATCCATGTTTGGTCTCTGATTTGGTACTCGTTTCATATTAGAAATGTTTCATGTTCCAATGTTTATTTGCTTAATCTGATGGATATTGTGTACAATTGTGATTGATTTTTGTAAAGTACTAACAGCAACAACACCAGCAGTACTCAATCTGGTCAGAAGAAGAAGTGCTACTTGATAGATTGCTCTAAACCGGGACAGAAGGTTGCTGAAGGCAGAGTTTGGTCATCTAATCCAACAGACACAGTGCATCTTAAACCATTGGGACCCAATGCTAGCAAGGTATCAGTTGACGTGCCACTAGTAGGAAATGCGAAAGTGTGGAAACCAAGTTCAGAAATTCAGACCATTGATGATGCATTAGGTAGTCTTGTGGCTTGGCCTAGTGATAAACTTCTTTTTATGTGATGATGTTTGGAAACTCTAGTTGTGGTAGTAGAGAACCTTAGTGTTTGGAAACTCTAGTTGTTGTTGTGTGTGGAAACATAATGTTTGGATTTATGTTATGTTATGTTTGGATTTTTATGGAGTATTCATATTTTTAAAACAGGTTATCAAAGACAGCAATTTCATATGTACCAATAATAACGAAAAATCATTTATTTTTAACGCTATTATTATTTAAAACAATAACATTTATAAAACGCTGTCATTACATTAAAACTTTGAAAGCGTAAATAAAACGCTATTATTACTCAAAACAATAACATTTATAAAACGCTGTCATTACATATATTAACAGCGCAAATAAAACGCAATGAAAAAGTAATTCATAATTGTTCAGAAACGCTATTAAATATAATACAATAATAGCAGGACATAAAACCGCTATAAAAAGTAGCGGAGCTATTATAGCGTGCGATGATATAGCGTTTGGTAAAACGCTATGGTATCTATCAATAGCGTTTTCTGGCCGCTACGAAAAGCCAATATTCTTGTAGTGGGAATTCTTTCATTTACTTGTTCAAATCTGGACTGGTACGGTCCTCTACTCTGCCAAGGATTCCTTTTCATTTACCACTGCATGCTAACTATTTTTCGTAATGCAGTTAGTTTTTAATGCGTTAGTCACAATGACCGTTTTTCTACAAGCTGGTGCTACGACGGATTCTCCACATGGGAATTATCTTATGGGTTCTCTATTCACTGCTCTCTTTAGACTTCTTGCTGATGGGCTTCCAGAACTCACTTTGACTATCTCTAGATTGGGAGTGTTCTGCAAACATAAAGATTTATACTTCTATCCTGCTTGGGCATATGCAATTCCTTCAATTATCTTAAAGATACCTCTTTCGGTTCTCGATTCATTCATCTGGACATTACTGACATATTATGTCATTGGTTACAGCCCCGAGGTCAAAAGGTAAACAACATTTTTGGAAATACTTTCAATGATTAATCCAAATTCTGTGAGTAAACTACTTCTAATGGTAAGTGTTACTTTCCTTAGGTTCTTCCTGCACTTCCTTATCTTATCTACATTCAACCTTTCATGTGTATTAATGTTTCGCGCTATAGCGGCAATATTTCACACAATTGTTGCTTCCACAATCACTGGAGCTATTTCCATATTGGTTCTCTCATTATTCGGCGGCTTCATTATTCCAAAATGTAAGTTTCCAGAAACTTTCTTATATCAAGTTATACTTCTGAAATTTTATTTACCATATGCAATATTATATCTGAAAATGCTCATCTTTCAGCATCAATGCCTGCTTGGCTGGGATGGGGATTCTGGCTTTCTCCCTTGTCATATGCTGAGATTGGTCTAAGCGCAAATGAATTTTTCTCCCCACGGTGGAGCAAGGTAAATTCTTCAGAAGACTTTCACACAAGCTTAGTAATTCTAGTCTGCTGATCCGCTTTATATTTTGCAACAGTTAATCTCTGGCAACACTACGGCCGGGGAACAAATGTTAGATATCCGTGGGTTGAATTTCGGTAGGCACTCTTACTGGACAGCTTTTGGTGCTTTAGTCGGGTTTGTCTTGTTCTTCAATGCACTCTATGTGTTGGCCCTAACGTATCAGAATAGTAAGTTCATCACAAATGACAATAGAAATCATGACTTTATGAAGTATTTTCCAACTAAAATATTGATAAGATTATCTTTGCAAGTTAAGATCCGAAAAGATCCCGTGCTATGGTCTCGCATGGGAAGTACTCTCAGCGCATAGAAGAAGATTTTAAACCCTGCCCTGAAATCACTTCCCGAGCTAAAACAGGAAAAGTTATCTTGCCTTTTAAGCCCCTCACTGTCACATTTCAAAACGTGCAGTATTATATTGAGACTCCTCAGGTAAGCATTGTTTAAGATCAGTATGAATGTTTTGAGATACTTAAACCCTCAAACAGAACGCAAGTTTACATGTGACTCACTTTTCTCTTAGGGAAAGACGTGGCAACTTCTCTCTGATGTTACAGGCGCGTTGAAGCCCGGTGTTCTCACATCTCTAATGGGTGTCAGTGGAGCAGGGAAAACGACTCTTCTTGATGTTCTTTCTGGAAGGAAAACCCGGGGTATCATCAAAGGAGAGATCAAAGTAGGCGGGTATCCTAAGGTTCAAGAAACATTTGACGAGTATCAGGTTACTGTGAACAGTTTGATATTCATTCTCTTAATATAACTGTGGAAGAGTCTTTGAAATATTCTGCATGGCTTCGACTCCCCTATAACATTGATTCAAAGACAAAGAACGTAAGTAGTCATACTCTAAAAAAGAATCTACTACAAGACATTGGAAGCAATTTTATCTGACTATATCTAGGATCTGGCTTCAGGAACTCGTCAAAGAAGTCCTCGAGACAGTTGAGCTTGAGAATATCAAAGATTCCATGGTGGGACTTCCTGGAATAAGTGGTTTATCTACTGAACAACGCAGAAGGCTGACTATAGCCGTGGAGCTTGTTTCTAACCCTTCCATCATATTTATGGATGAACCTACCACAGGGCTGGACGCAAGAGCCGCAGCCATTGTTATGAGAGCTGTGAAAAATGTTGCTGAGACTGGGAGAACGGTTGTTTGCACGATCCACCAGCCGAGCATAGATATCTTTGAGACATTTGATGAGGTAAGACGGCTGAAATCATTGATTTAACGACATAGTCTAAACTTTGATCCCCCCCCCCCCAACAGCTTCTTATTCCCTCAATTGCAGCTGATCCTGATGAAAAATGGGGGACAGTTTGTCTACTATGGTCCTCCTGGACAACATTCAAGTAAGGTTATCGAGTACTTCGAGGTCAGTTTTTGATTTCACAAAATAAATTTAAGAGTACAATACATTGAAAGAGTATCCCTGGAGTTCCCAAGATCCAAAAGAATTGTAATCCAGCCACTTGGATGTTAGAGATTACTTGTAAATCTGCACAGGATAAACTTGGAATTGATTTTGCACAATTGTACAAGGATTCAACTCTGTATAAGTGAGTGTTTATGCAACAATGCTCGTAATTTTGCATGTGTGCGTAAAATTATTGTTCTCATTGTTGGTTGTTGGGTCTTTTCTTGCAGGCAGAACAAAATGGTGGTTGAGCAACTGAGTTATGTGTCTCTGGGATCACAAGCTTTGAGCTTTCCTTCACGATTTTCACAAACAATTTGGGGGCAACTAAAGGCTTGCCTTTGGAAACAACATTACTCGTATTGGAGAAACCCGTCACACAATATCACTCGCATAGTCTTCATATTGCTCGACTCTATGTTATGTGGCCTTCTCTTCTAGCAAAAAGCTAAGGACATGTAAGTCTCCGCTCCCCATTTCGAAACATGATTGTATGCTACTATATTGTGGAATTACAGCTTTTCTTTTTTAGTGGTAAAGCATGAACTAAATTGATCTGACTAAGATTCTGTAAACATAGTTTCTCTTTTTTCGAATGCATCAGGTCTTTTTTATAAAATATTTAGTTCGTTTATGATGGCTAAAAGTCATAGCATAATATATGACACCCAAAAACATTTTGTTACCAACTCTCACTGATGCAATGAATAAGGATTACATACCACCAAATTTTCACAGGTAAAGAGAACTATGTTAATTTAATCTGAGTTTACCTTCGCAGAAATAATCAGCAAGATCTTATCAGCATATTTGGTTCCATGTACACTCTAGTAATCTTCCCGGGAATGAACAACTGTGGGGCAGTGATAAACTTCGTTGCAGCGGAACGCAATGTTTTCTACCGTGAAAGGTTTGCACGGATGTACTCCTCATGGGCGTATTCATTTTCTCAGGTTAACAATGTTTCCGTTAAAAATGGGTGTTGTCAACTTTTAAGAAGTAGATCTTATAGCAAATCGCTTAGAGATGCTAATAATTTTCTGGGATCTCTCTACATAATCCAGATATTTAATGTTCTACAGGTCCTAGTTGAGGTTCCATACTCACTACTCCAGTCCGTTCTATGTACAATAATCGTATATCCTATGATCGGCTACCATATGTCAGTTTACAAGATGTTTTGGAGCTTGTACAGCATCTTCTGCTCGTTGCTCATCTTCAACTACTGCGGGATGCTTATGGTTGCTTTGACGCCAAACGTTCACATGGCAGTGACTCTACGCTCGTCTTTTTTCTCCATGTTAAATCTGTTTGCTGGCTTTGTCATTCCAAAGCAGGTAAGGCTCCCCTTATCTCTCACGCCGTTATTACACACAGCCAAGATCCAAAGTATGTCATGGAAGCTATAGTCTTATAGACTTATTTGCATCAGTAACCAATAAGCTATTGGAACTATGTCAGATCTATTTAACTCAAAATGTATCGTTGTCCGCAGAAAATCCCAAAATGGTGGATATGGATGTACTACCTGAGCCCGACATCATGGGTGTTGGAAGGATTATTGAGTTCGCAATATGGAGATGTCGACAAAGAGATAACAGTATTTGGAGAGAAGAAGAGAGTTTCAGCTTTCTTGGAAGATTACTTTGGTTACAAACATGACTCATTGGTTATAGTAGCGTTTGTTCTCATCGCTTATCCCATTATCGTGGCAACTCTATTTGCCTTCTTCATGACTAAACTGAATTTCCAAAAGAAATAGTTTTTATGTAATGATAGCAGTTCACTCTATGCTTACTTCAATTAAGAGTCCATCGGCTTTTCTTCGTCACCATGGATTTTGGACTCTAGAAGAAAATGGCTCTTTGACTACAACAGAACCACCAAGTGGCTTGAGAAATTACAAAATAGTTTTGGACTCTTCTTCACAAATGGTAACATTGTTATAAGGGTAGAGTGTCGTAATATCCAACTATCTTTTTTTTACTTCTTCATAAGGCGGCTTTTGGGTTTGTTTGTTCTGTTGTTTCTTGGTTTTGAAGTCAAAGTGTTCAACGAAATGCTTACGTGAAAGCAACGTCTTTTTTTATTCATTTTCAAATGCTTACCCATTTCTTTATTGATTAAAACAGTTGCTCCATGCTTGTGGGGACTTGACAATAAGACCTTTGACTTCTCTCTATCCACCCTTTTGAAGCCAACTTGGTTTTGATCACTTTGTTAGCAAGCCTCTACTACTACTACTCTAACTTGTATAATTATCTGTTTTTTTTTTCCTTTCATGATTCAGAAGATAACATTAGAAATGGTCCACGTGTAGTTTGGTAAAATCTGACTAACATGTCGGTTCCATTACCCGATTATGGACAAAACTATTTTCATTACAAGTACGAATCAATAAAGTAAGAATCATTTTTGGAAATTTGATTGCAGCCACAAAAGTCAAATCTTTTACATATCAGGAAAATTCTTCAGAGGCGGCGGATTTTGTTTTAAAGTTTCTTCAAATTCTATATATTTTTATGCTTAGAGCATCTCCAATGGGAATCTCTTACCCATTTAACTTTTTTTTTTTGTCTGTATTCACTTTGGTCCATGCTTGATAGATATTAAGACCGTTGACTTCTCTGTCCACCTCGTGAAACCAACGTGATTGTGATAAATTACTTTGCAAGCTAGCAACATTACTTCTCTTACTTTGTATAACATTCTCTTCTCTCTTCTTCTTTGTAAAGTATAATCCTTTTTGGACTTTGGTTTCTAATAATGGCAATGTCTCAAACAGATGGAGTTGAGTTTGCTTCTAGGAACACTATTGAAAATGACGATGATGATGAGCTTCGGTCTCAATGGGTTGCTATTGAGAGATCACCAACGTTTGAAAGAATCACTACTGCTCTGTTCTGCAAAAGAGATGAAAAAGGGAAGAGAAGCGAGAGACGAGTCATGGATGTTTCTAAACTTGAGGATCTTGATAGACGCCTGTTTATTGATGAGCTCATCAGACATGTTGAGAATGATAATCGCGTCTTATTGCAAAAGATTAGGAAGAGGATTGATGAGTAAGTCACGCCTTTTTCGCTGTTAACCTTTGTATTTATATGTTCCTTGTACATTAGAAATGTAATTCCATGTTTATTTATATATAGCGTTGGGATTGATTTACCAACGATTGAAGTGAGGTTCAGTGATCTTTTTGTCGAAGCAGAGTGTGAGGTTGTTTATGGAAAGCCTATCCCAACTCTTTGGAATGCTATTGCAAGCAAACTATCTGTAAGTGTTTGCTTTGACTTGTCTTTCTATTTTAAATTCCTTCTGAGATTTAAAATAATGGTTGATTTTGACAGAGACTCATGCGTTCAAAGCAAGAAAAGAAGATTAGCATCTTGAAAGGTGTCAGTGGTATCATAAGGCCTAAAAGGTAGATTTTTGAAGCAGAAAATTTCATATTTATTTATTCAAGAATGATCGGTTTAATTTCAGAAGATTTAGTGGTTTTCTTGTAGAATGACTTTGTTGCTTGGTCCTCCTGGTTGTGGTAAAACCACTCTACTACTCGCACTATCTGGAAGACTTGACCCTTCTTTAAAGGTTTGGCTTGTTTTTTTCAGTCCTTAAAACGTCTCTGTTTTCAGAAATCGTCATATGGGTTGCTTCCATTTTACAGACTAGAGGAGAAGTTAGTTACAACGGTCACTTGTTTTCGGAGTTTGTTCCTGAGAAAACATCGAGCTATATAAGTCAAAATGATCTGCATATTCCAGAGCTAAGTGTGAGAGAGACACTCGATTTTTCGGGATGTTTTCAAGGCACGGGAAGCCGTTTAGGTAAGGACAATACTAAATTCTTATGTTTCCTTTTGCATTGAACTTTATTGACACTGAAAACTATTGGTCATTTGTTCAACAGAAATGATGAAAGAGATTAGTAGAAGGGAGAAACTGAAAGGAATTGTTCCAGATCCTGATATAGATGCATACATGAAGGTTAAATAACTATGGATATTTCATATGAAAAATATCTATGACTTGGAACTTGCTTTGCAAGAAAAAGAATCGTTTACGGAATTTAAATTTTTATCATTACAGGCAGCTTCAATTGAGGGTTCAAAAACTAATCTGCAAACCGACTATATCCTAAAAGTATGATACAATCAGTGTGTTCTTTTTTTCTTCATCTTTAGCTTCTACTCTTATGAGAAGTTGATTAATGCATCTGTGTTTCAGATCCTAGGACTCAATATCTGTGCAGATACACGTGTTGGAGATGCTTCAAGACCGGGAATATCTGGTGGCCAAAAGAGAAGATTAACTACAGGTACTTGTAAATTTCACACAGGGCTTTAGCTTCTTGCAAACAATTTTTGATATTTGGTATATACTAATCTGTTATCTTTTGCAGGTGAGATGATTGTAGGTCCGGTCAAAACTTTGTTCATGGATGAAATATCGAATGGTTTGGATAGTTCAACTACATTGCAAATTCTATCATGTCTCCAACAGTTTGCACGTCTATCTGAAGGAACCATACTGGTTTCACTTCTTCAGCCTGCACCAGAAACGTTTGAGCTTTTCGGCGATGTGATTCTTATGGGAGAAGGAAAGATAATCTATCACGGTCCACGGGATTTTATATGTAGTTTCTTTGAGGATTGTGGATTTAAATGTCCAAATAGGAAATCTGTTGCTGAATTCCTTCAAGAGGTATGAATATGATACTGATGATACTCTCTGTTCTTGAAACTTTAATGATCATCACACTCTTAAATTACAGGTTATCTCAAGGAAAGATCAAGAACAGTATTGGTGTCACAGAGACAAACCATATTGTTATGTCTCTATTGACTCATTCATTGAGAAATTTAAAAAGTCTGATCTTGGGCTACAACTACAAGACAAACTCTCCAAGACATATGACAAGTCTCAGACTCAAAAGGATGGACTGTGCTTTAGAAAATACTCACTTAGTAACTGGGATATGCTTAAAGCTTGTTCAAGGAGAGAATTTCTTCTGATGAAACGTAACTCTTTCGTTTACGTATTCAAATCTGGACTTGTAAGATGTAAATACTTTGACAAAAAAAAAAGCTTTACTTATTTTTTACCAATGCTCTCTAACGCCATCTACCTTTTTTCTGCAGTTAATTTTCATTGGATTCATTGCAATGACTGTTTATCTACAGACTGGGTCTACAAGAGATTCTCTTCATGCTAATTATCTTATGGGTTCTTTGTTCTTTTCTCTCTTTAAACTTCTTGCTGATGGACTTCCAGAACTCACATTGACAATCGCGAGAATTGCCGTGTTCTGCAAGCAAAAGGAGTTATACTTTTATCCTGCTTGGGCATATGCAATACCTTCAGCTATTTTAAAGATACCAATTTCATTTCTTGAATCATTCCTATGGACATTGTTGACATATTATGTCATTGGTTACAGTCCTGAGATGGGCAGGTACTAATTTGGAACATATTTTTCAATAGCCAGTGCAAAAAGAAACCAAATTTAATATTTTTCTTTCTGCTAAACAAAAATATTTTTTCTTTACTTCAGGTTCATTCGCCAGCTCTTGATCTTCTTTGCTTTACACCTTTCATGTATATCAATGTTCCGTGCTATAGCTGCTGTCTTTCGGGATTTTGTTCTTGCCACAACCATTGGAAGCATCTCTATAGTGCTTCTCTCAGTATTCGGTGGTTTTATTGTTCGAAAACGTAAGTTTTTAACTTGAAACTTAAACTGTAGTAATTCGGAGGTGTCATTGTAATGGTGCCCTGTTATTTTTCAGCCTCAATGCCTTCTTGGCTTGAGTGGGGATTCTGGCTTTCTCCATTGTCATATGCTGAGATTGGTCTAACCGCAAATGAATTTTACGCTCCACGGTGGAGGAAGGTAATGAATTCTTCATAAACCTTTCACATTTTAGATAAGTTGTTAGTTTGTTATTGATCCTTATCACCTTTTTATTACTATTAGATAACATCTGAAAACAGAACTTTGGGGGAACAAGTTCTAGATGCTCGCGGGTTGAACTTTGGAAATCAATCTTACTGGAATGCATTTGGCGCTTTGATTGGCTTCTCACTCTTCTTCAATACTGTTTTTGCACTGGCCTTGACCTTTCTAAAGAGTAAGTTCACAAGAGATATAAGAATATGACTTAATCATGTTAGTATATGCAATGAGGATTGATGTTTTTTTTGCAACTTCAGCTTCACAGAGGTCTCGTGTGATTGTTTCTCATGAAAAGAACACTCAAAGCTCAGAAAAAGATTCTGAAATTGCTTCCCAATTCAAAAATGCATTACCTTTCGAACCTCTAACTTTCACATTTCAAGACATACAATATTTTATTGAGACTCCTCAGGTAAAAAGACTAAAGAGTATGCAAGATCAGTGCAAGTTTTCTTGAGTCCTTTTAATATAGAGTTATAATGTGTGGCTATAATTTCTGTGTTAAAAGGGAAAGAAGCTGCAGCTTCTCTCTGATGTTACAGGCGCATTCAAGCCCGGTGTTCTCACCGCTCTAATGGGTGTGAGTGGGGCTGGTAAAACGACTCTGCTTGATGTTCTTTCAGGAAGGAAAACCCGCGGTGACATTAAAGGACAGATTGAAGTAGGCGGTTACCTTAAGGTTCAAGACACATTTTCGCGGGTTTCAGGATATTGCGAACAGTTTGATATCCATTCTCCCAATTTAACTGTCCAAGAGTCCCTGGAATACTCTGCTTGGCTTCGACTTCCTTCTAACATCAGTTCAGAAACTAAGAGTGTAAGTCATTATTTGGAAAAAAAAAAAAAGTTTTCTTCCTTCCTTGTCTGAGTATTTTCTTGATCTTCGCTTCCAGGCAATAGTTAATGAAGTTCTTGAGACGATAGAGCTCAAGGAGATTAAACATTCCATAGTAGGAATTCCTGGAATTAGCGGTTTAACAACAGAACAACGCAAAAGACTAACAATAGCTGTGGAGCTTGTTTCCAATCCATCAATCATATTTATGGATGAACCAACCACAGGATTAGATGCAAGAGCTGCTGCAATTGTAATGAGAGCTGTGAAGAACATCGCCGAGACTGGCAGAACTGTTGTTTGCACAATTCACCAGCCAAGCATAGATATCTTCGAGACATTTGATGAGGTAAAAACTCGTAAAACATTCATCTCATTTTAAAGTCTCTTGTTTAAAGTACATTAATCTGACCCTTCAATTGCAGCTGATTCTGATGAAAAATGGAGGAAAGATTATCTATTATGGACCTCTTGGACAACATTCAAACAAAGTTATTGAATACTTTATGGTCAGTTTCTATATAATACTGAAACTGTTGCATATAAAGTATGGTTTCTTCTCTATTTACAAATTATAAGAACAATTTTCAACTGTAGAGCATTCCTGGAGTTCCAAAACTGAAAGAAAACTCTAATCCAGCCACTTGGATACTTGACATTACTTCTAAATCATCAGAAGACAAACTTGGTGTTGATTTAGCACAAATATACAAGGAATCGAATTTGTTTAAGTAAGTCTATAAACAAGTATTACTTAATAACTTTGGATGTTGTTTGCCTGAAACTGATTTTGTTATTTGTTTTTAGGGAGAACAACATTGTAATTGAGGAAACAAGATGTACATCTTTGGGATCAAAAAGATTAATCTTGTCTTCGCGTTATGCTCAAACGGGTTGGGAACAATTCAAAGCATGCCTCTGGAAACAACATCTCTCTTATTGGAGAAACCCTTCCTACAACCTCACTCGCATCATTTTCATGTGTTTTACTTCTCTGCTGTGTGGTATTCTTTTCTGGCAAAAAGCTAAGGAAATGTTCGTGTCTTCCCCCATCTTTCTTGAATCGGCTTTGAACCGTGTGATTTCCTTAGTCTCAAAAACTTTGTGTTCTGAATATCCGCTATTTAAACTTTGTTTACCTCTGTTCTTTGCAGAAACAATCAGCAAGATATATTCAACGTGTTTGGCTCAATGTTCACGGTGGTTCTATTCTCTGGAATAAACAATTGCTCAACAGTGTTATTTTGCGTTGCAACCGAACGAAATGTCTTCTACCGCGAAAGATTTTCCCGTATGTACAACTCATGGGCGTATTCCCTTGCTCAGGTTAAAACATTTTCTCAATCAAACCATAAAGGAAGGAAAATAAAAAACTCAGAGTTTGGTATTGACTTTTGAGGCTGGATGTTGCAGGTGTTGGTTGAAATTCCATACTCATTGTTCCAATCTATTGTATACGTGATAATTGTATATCCTATGGTTGGTTATCACTGGTCGATCTTCAAAGTGTTTTGGAGCTTCTACTCAATTTTCTGCTCCTTGCTCATCTTCAACTATTTCGGCATGCTTTTAGTCGTCGTGACCCCAAACGTTCACGTTGCTTTTACTCTCCGCTCTTCGTTTTACTCAATAGTCAATCTCTTTGCTGGTTATGTCATGCCAAAACCTGTAAGTTCTCTTCTTACCTCTATTCACCAAGTTTAAAAAGTTCAATTCTTGTTGTGTGAAAGAAGAAAAAAAGAGTTAGAAAAATCATAAAGATATGAGATTTTGGGATTTTTTGTTGTTGTTGATGCAGAACATTCCGAGATGGTGGATTTGGATGTATTACTTGAGCCCAACATCATGGGTTTTGAACGGATTGCTCACGTCGCAGTATGGAGATATGGAGAAAGAGATTTTAGCGTTTGGAGAGAAGAAGAAAGTTTCAGATTTCTTAGAAGATTATTTTGGTTACAGATATGATTCTTTGGCTCTTGTAGCTGTTGTTCTTATTGCCTTCCCCGTTCTCTTGGCATCTCTATTCGCATTTTTCATTGGTAAACTCAATTTCCAAAAGAAGTAAAATCGCATTTTCCTCATATATAAATGTTTTGGTATTTAGAAGTGAGAATTTGTCTTAGAAACAACTAGAAAGAATACAAAAGAAAGGCTTCCAAAATTGTTACAGTTTTGCCAAAACACACAAAAGTTGCAACTTGCAAGTGACTTTCTCAAATAACCAAAAACTCAAAACTTTAGTAGAGAATGAGACAAACCATATACAGAAGAAGGATCTGTGTTTTCTTCATCTCCTTACACAATTTACAAAAAAAAAAACGAAACAACCTTTGGTTTAAATGCAAAATCGTGCGAGTTTTCTGGATGGTTTAAGCTCGGGTCTTGTATGAGACACTTTTCGAAGATGGTCTAAACTCTGAACCCACCTACAGATAACATTAAGTTTTATTGAGCATTACGGTTGTTGTGAAATGAATTCTCTTACAAAAAAAAATTGTGATGAACCAATAAACTTACCTCGGATTCCGCCATTTCTTTCGAGCAGAAGAACCATAGGACTTGCTTGCACGGACCTTTTTTAGTTGATCCTTGAAGAGAATGGCCAAGAAAATATGCTAAGTGTTCATGGCGATTAGCTCATCCGGCATGCATTGCCTTATATTAATGACCATTGATTTATTATAAGGTGATGAGATGTCACAACATTGGCGGCGAGGCGCAACCATCTGACATTTTATTTTCAGGAAACCAAAAAAAAAGGTGAATGCAGGCAAAATTGAAGGTACTTTACAATGAAGCAAAGAGTATTTATAAATTATACCTGTTCAACATCATGTTTCAGCTTGCGAGACAGAACTCTGACTCGTTCTAGACGCTCAACAGCTTCTGCTCTGTGACAATTTCCGACTCTATGGAGGTTATAGTTACTCCACGTTCCCTCAGTTCCATCTGATCCTACACTGTCCAAGAAAAAGACGAGTGGTCTCCCACATGGATCCCTTGGATATTCTCTTGTACTGAACATATAGTTGCTTTGGACCCCTGACCCTCTCCTCCATGTAGAAAATGTCTTTTGCAGGGTGAGAAGATCCGGAAGAAGTTTATTTCCTTCATAAACTTGAACCGCATAACCCCACACAACCGAAACAGTCACTGTGTTCAAAGAATCATAGCACACACTCTGCTGCAAAATCCTTGCCGAATCAAAACTTGCAGCTCCAATAAGATGAGCCACAGATTCGGTCCGGTTCCTTTTTGGAAAAAACGGATCAACTGCATCCAAGTGATGAAGAGATACCAACGGAGATAAAGGGTGCGCACATAGCAGACCAAATATGTTCCCTCTTACATCAATCTACAAAAAGAGCACATATATAGTAATATTCAGATTAACTCTCTAGTAGCAAAATCAGATATAGTAAGGTAAGCAAATTAGACTTATCCGGAAAAAAATACTGCAACAGAAAGGAAACATACTAACTACACTATCCAATATCAACCACATAAAACAAGATAGTCTAATGACATCATTGAACTAAAAACTTGTCTATCTCTCAGAAAATCTCTTGTTCATTGTCAATTCAAATAAAATCACAAGGCTTTTGACTATCTCAATCCTACCAAATTGTTGCAACTAATTTAGCAAAAATCCATTCCTTAATTACCTGATGAAATCCAGGTTCATGAGTTAATGTAACACCAAGCTCAGCGACGCAAGAGAAGATCCTAGAATCGCTTCCATACATATGCGAATACCTCATCAAACAAGAATCCAAAACCTTAGCCAAAACCTTAGCAAGCGAAGCACTAATGGCGAATCCTCCACCACCAAACGCCATATCAAACGAATACCTAACATTCTGATCATAAAACTCCGAATTACTTCCGACGTAATACCACTTCCGGTGATCATACTTAGACAAAACCGTCACCAAATTATCTACAAAGAAAACAGTATCATCATCACCGAAAACGAACCACCGTACATCTTTATCTCCCAGATCCACCGTCTCTTTAACAACACGAGCCACACGAATCGCTGATCGGAGACCGCCAGGGAAGTTATAAGGAAACCTAGAAACGTCTTTAGATACAATCACAGGAGGGAGAGTTAGATCGGACTCCAATCCACCGCGATCGAGAAACACGACGGCGCGTGTAGACTCAGGAGAGTACCAGAGACGAACATAGGAGCTACGACGGAGCCAAGAGTCATGAGAAGCAGCGATCGAGAAGAGTAAGTGACGGCGACGAGTGGAGAACACAGATAAGGAACGAGCGATCGATGAAATCTGTTCACGTCGGAAAGTGGTGCCGTAGGAGAAGATGATGTAGATGATGAAACAAAAGGTGAGTAACAAGAAGATGTATCTGATGCGGGAAGAAGTTAACGACGGAGATTTGGCCGGAAAGAGCATTTCCGGCGAGAGCGAATCGAGTCTAGAGAGAGATGGATCAGGTCGTCTCTTACGTCTCGTTTGGTTCATTTTTTTCTAACTTTCCTTTTTTCGAGTTTCTTCGTCTTCTTCTCTGCAGATTCGACGACGGTTAAGTTTCTCGGAAAGTTGCACAACGAAGGAGCCGTCGCTTTCAGTGAATAGACTTGGTAATTCGGGTTTACGGGTCGGGTTAGTTTTGGTCCGGATCTAATTTTCGGACCTACTTGATGAGACCAAGGGTTAGGTGTTGTGTATCCTATTTTATGTTATGGGTTTGATATATGAGTTCGTAGGGGATTTTGGATATTATGCATGATTAGGATTGGCCCAATAATCTAACAATATGGGTTAATTAGTTGACCTTAGAATTCAACGCATAGTTCTTATCGATTCGTGGGAAAAATTGTATTCTGATGGTAAAACCTGGTCGAAACGTAGTTAAATTTAACAATGGAATAACGTTATATTTTGTCGTGTTATTAAACTACCGATGAATTAATTTACTATTAATCCGACTAATCAACTATGGCTTTATCAATATGTCATAAATTTACCAAGTCGTTTGTTCAAAAAAAAAAAAAAAAAAAAATTTACCAAGTCGTTAGCTCAACTGATAAAGATCGTAGGCGGAACTTAAAGGTCGCCGGTTCGAGTGACGCTTGGGATAAAACATATATTACATGTTGTGGTTTCAGGTCTGAAGGGATTACGGATTTTGGTTCAGAACTTCCTGGTATTCAAAAAAAAAAAATCATAAATATGTTATTTATATGTCACTTTATATATCCAACTGGAATAGTTTTGGAGGATGTACATCTTCTAGAAGCTAAAGAGATTGTGATAGCTATTAGAAATCGTAGACTTCCAACTCAAAATCATTGACAATGAATGGAGAGGCTCATGAATCTTATATACTAGTATAAAAATATTCCAACTTCTAATGTGAGACATTCTCACAATCTAATAAGCCTCCTCGAGATGTGGATAGGAAACGGCCCAACGGGAACAGCTCAAACCTATCATCTCGGAAATACCACAACAAGACGGCCCACTTGTATGGGCCACATATATAGGTATTAAACCGTTTATGTAGGAAATCGTTTGTTAGGCCAATTTTGAGTTCTAATATTATATTAGAAATCATGTGCTTCCAATTCAAAACCATGAATAGAAAGATTTATAATCATTATATACTAGTGTGAAAATATCCCAACTTCAAATGTGGGACATTCTGACTATCTAATAACACACTATTAATTGAATTCAAGGAATTTTTTTTTTTTTTTTGACTTTGAGGGAATTGTTTACTAGAAAAGATCAATGCATTCTAGGCTATAGAAGCTAACGTTACATGTTACATGTTACATGTCTATTAGTTTTGCGATCATGCATCCAAAAATTAAAATCGAGCTTCATGCTATTTCTGGGAAGAAAGTCGACCATTACAATTTTATCAAATAAAATTATACAAATATGAAAACGGAAGATAAGAAATTAATTATTTTAAGGAATAAGTTGCAATATAGTACGTTTTTTAAACTTAATATGGAAAGTAGTACAGATACTATTCAAAATTGGAGAATCATCAGTTTGCTTTTGTTTGTGAGATACACGAGATGTGAGATAGCAAATATAGTGGGGTAAGGAAGGGAGGGTGGAAATTACAATAGAGGACTTGAGTGTGTTTAAGAGAAAAATATAGTGGGGTAAGAAAGAGAAACGTGGGTCCTGAATTTTTTTTACTTTCTTTCTTTTATTTATTATCTCATATTCCTTGAATGTCTCATAATTAAAATGCTCGTTAGTGAATTTTGTTTTTTTTTTAATTTATCAGATTCATAAAAATCTATATTTTTTTTTCTATCATTTGGTATGCATTTTGTTTGATAATTTTTTTAAAAATTATATTATATACCACTGTACACAAAAATGGCTGTACAGACATAGAGCACTGTACAGAAAAATGACTGTACAGATATAAACCACTGTACAGGATGATACATCTGTACAGACTGATACAGCTGTACAGAAAGATACAGCTGTACAGAAAGATACAGCTGTACAGAAGGTAAAATTTTTGTTACTTTCTTTTCTTTTATTTATTACCTCATATTTCTTCAATGTCTTATAATTAAAATTCTCGTTAGTGAATTTTTTTTAAAAAAAATTTATCAGATTCATAAAAATCTATATTTTTTTTTCTATCATTTGGTATGCATTTTGTTTGATAATTTTTTAAAAAATTATATTATAGACCACTATACATAAAAAATGGATGTACAGATGTAGAGCATTGTACAGAAGAATAGCTGTACAGATATAAACCACTGTACAGATGTAGAGTACTGTACAGAATAATGGCTATACAGATATAAATCACTGTACATATATAAACCACTGTACAGATGTAGAGCACTGTACAGAAGAATGGCTGTACAGATATTTCCTTCCATATTTTTAAAACGAGTTCATTCTTTTAAGTTTAATAAAATATCATATATTAGAATTCAAGTGCACCAACAATACAATTTCTAAAATTTATCTCCCAACATATTTCAAATGAATGTCTACCCTAACCAAAAAGAATTACATCCCAACCAAAAGATATAAACTACTGTACAGAAGGATACATCTGTACAGATATAAACTACTGTACAGAAGGATACATCTGGAATGAAGTTAGAGCACATATAATTATATATTTAAGTGTACAAATATGAAACCGAAAAATAGACACTTCTCTAAATTTTATCTCCCAACATATTTCAAATGAATGTCTACCCTAACCAAAAAGGAGCAAATCCCAACCCAAAAGATTGCCTATTACACATTTTATACAGAACAAACATGATGGATATAGTCTTTCATCCAAAAAAACACTTTTAACACAAAATTATACTCTTTTAACACAAAATTATACTTCATTACGATAGATCATTACACAAAGTTCTGAAATTTCTACTTTGCATAAAGCCTCACTTAATCGAATTAGCTATCAATTATTAGCATACATGACAAATAATGAACATACATTTCAATTTTTTTGTTAACAAATAATTTAGATATGAAACATATTGTTTATATTTCATTGCTTGTGATATTTGTTTATTGAAACCGAAAATCATATATACTTGAATATAGATGCCTTAAGCTTTACTTCTAAGATTATAGACCCAAAGAAAATAAAGAAAAGAAAATAAATAGAGTTCGTGACCTATAGGCTAATTGAATAAATGCAAACGGAATAAGTGCCATTAGTGTTAATTACGAACACAACAAATCATGGGATTATGAGCAAACTTACGACCGAACCAACATCGACTCATGGATCGGTAAGGGCAATCCCCCTTGTCCATTCACACGGGTCGCTCTCTCCGATCTCACTCTCATCCCTAACCACACTCTCGGCCGTCTTATCCAAGAATGGTGTGTCGATAATCGCTCTAACGGTGTTGAACGGATTCCTACTCCGAAACAACCGGCAGATCCAATCTCCGTTAGGTCTCTTCTCAGTCAAGCCTCCGCAATTTCCGGAACTCACGCCTCTGTTCGCTCACGCGCCGCCGCCATTTGTCGTTTGAGAGAATTAGCTAGAGATGAGAAGAATCGCGTTTTGATCGCTGGTCATAACGCGAGAGAGATTTTGGTGAGGATTTTGGTTTTATTGCATATGACGGAGACAGAGTGTGAAGCTCTTGCGTCGGTGTATGACCCGGTGGTTGTTTGATTCTTTGATTGAAATTAAGGTTAACGGCGCCGCGTTGATTGAGATGGTGTTGACCGGATCAAAATTGATGGATCTAAAACTGATAATTTCTGGATCCGATTCAATTTTTGAAGGCGTTCTCGATCTTCTCAAGATTCTTATTTCATCGCGGTGAGCTTTGCAGATCGGAATCAAAGCGATTTTCGCTCTCTGTCTCGTGAAACAAAAGAAACATCTAGCGATCTCCACCGGAGCTCCGGGAATTTTAATCGACCATGGCGGATTTCGATAGGTGTGATGCTGAAACTGTGAGCATGCTTTGACAGTGCGTGAGCATGCTTTGACGGTGCCGCTAATGGTGAAGGCGAATCTGAGGGAGAGAAGAAAAGCTTTAGTTGGGTTGTTGTTGGTTGAGAAGAGATTGATCGAAGGAATGATGGAATCTGATGATGGGATAGAGAGAAAAGAGAAGGTTATTTTTTTATGGATTAAGAATGGCAACAATAATATGAGTTTCTCCGGAGAAAGAAGAAACGACAAAAGTACAATATAGAGTGGCATGAAACCGTAAATAATTGAGTTTTTGAGTGGCAAAAGAGGGCTCACAAATAAGTCAACAGGTACAAACTGGGGAAAAAGTAATTGTAAATAGTAACTGTATTATTTATTTATTTTTTCACTGAAAGATAGATTATAGATTGAGTTATACAAAGCTGGCGATTAACAAGATAATCCCAGAAACTAAGCCGACGGATAACATGAAATCCTCGGAGTCTAAAGCCCAAGAGAATGGGAAGCTTACAAACACAACTTCAAATGCATAACAAAGCCAAATACATGGGAGGGCAAAACAGAAACTGAAGCATGGAAGATCAAAAACTATAACCAGAATCTAGCACAAGAGACTTTGCCTACCATCAATCCAAATAAGAGAGAAGCTTGCAATAGTGGCTAAACGAAGGGGAAGATCAATTCCACAACACCGGATAGCGACTCCTCCTATAACAAATGAAGACTACCTCACAATTCAAATAATTGCAGCATCCCAACCAGCAAGAAGAAAACCAAACAACTCCTGGAAACAGCGAAATCGAGGCAATGGAAACCAAGATCGGTCAACGCCAAGAAAGATACCCAAGCAATATAGAGATCTCGATCAGATCAATATCGTAGAGACAAGGACTGAGCCCAAACAAATCCGCAACCAACTGAAGACTGAAGACGGCAAGAGAACGGACCGGACCGAAAAACAAACTCACTCCACAAGACAACGAATAGGCAAAGGAAATCGATGCTAGACCGCAAAAGACTGGATATAGAACAGAAACCAAAAACAATCCCCGACCACCCATCAATGACGACACAAGGACATGAACACAAATGAAATCAAAGAGAACGAAGCTAACGAAAGCACAAAGAAGACAGAACCCAGACCACAAACACTAAGCTACCAGTTACCGTTGCACCCCATCAATAGAAGGAGAGCCAGACCACCAGCAAACATTAGCCGCGGCAAGTACCGTCGCTCATCACCTTCGTCGGATCCAAAACTGAAACGATCGTGGTAGAGACCACAACATCCACAACACCGAGAAGAGACTCCAACCACACAAAAGGCCAAAGGCTCCGAAGAATCGAAACCCTTAACCAAGCCATTTTAGATCTGAGATCCAGAAAAAATCTTCACTTCGCCAACAACGACCGCAGGTCCAACACGACAAAGAGAAAACAAAAGACTAAAGCTTAAAGAAAACGAAAGGAGGGACCGACGCCGGCGCTATCTAAGCCGCCACGCGCCGGTCACGCGCTCAAATGGAACTGTTTGCTTCTCTCTGTTTTTATCGCCGTGAGGCAGAGGAAATAGGGTCTTGTAATTTTTTGAATAGTAACTGTATTACTTTTCCAATTATATTTCACAAACGTACTATATTCCCAACAAACCCTTATTTTAATCGTTTCTTTAACAAAAAGAAATTACTTTAATCACGAACCATGCAATGCAAGTGAAGTCCCTTTCATCCTTTTGGGAGCAAATTTGTAATAAAATATAAGTTAGAGTACTTAACCACCACACACAATGACCCGAAGACACCCAATTACGTAGAGACTGTCACGACCCTAAATTCAATTAACCCTAAATTCAATTACTCTGTTTCTTAATGCTCACATAGTCACATATTCTTTAATAATTGTAATCAGTGGGACATTGATTCTCTAACCACTTTTTTCGGCGATGAATTCTTCTAGACTAAACGAGCAACTAGTTAATAGAATTTAGAGTAATTAATTGGCTGCACCCATGGCCAAGAGTCACCTAAATTACATAATATTATATGGATTCAAACAGAACTATATAATTTATTTCTCTTTCTTCATCTTCTTCAACTTTTCATTTCCACACTTATATATATTTTCTTGACTCTTTTATGATTTTATCATTCAGATTAAGAAAAAAATTACATTTCTTTGGTATAATGTTAATTATGACTGAATTTATAAAAACGAACAGAAATAGTTGAAAAATAAATATTCTTATCTAAGTAAAAACATAATTGAATCATAAAATGTTATAGAAACACGTAAAATAATATGTTAGAGGGTTATACAATTCCCGGTTTATATATTATATCTCATTGAAACAAAACAAAAACATGCACAGTAGTTTAATAATTAATGAATTCCGATATTATATACTCCCTTTCTATAGACCACAAAAATGCTATGATTCATGATTCAATTATTCATTCTAGAACGTGATTGTGATTTGTGAACCAAAGAGTCATACTAGTCAACTACTCGAAATTTGTGTATCCAAACATGAGGACGAAAGATCGTCTGGTGGAGGAAAAATAACTAAATTATTGACAATTTGGCCCTCTTTCGACAATTACATCAAAACAATAGGTCAATAGTTTCCCACGTGTACAACCTATTTAATGACATAATCAAAATATCCATCATTCATTCATTCCTATATATAAATCGTCAAGACTTCAACACAACAACACAAGAGAGAGTAAAGATGTGCAAAGGAGTTGAGAAAAAAGAAGAGAGAAGAAACGACGATGGAGGATGCCAAAGACTATGCACGGAGAGTCCCAGAGCTCCGGTGAGCTGTGAGCTTTGCGGCGAGAACGCCACCGTGTATTGTGAGGCAGACGCGGCTTTCCTTTGTAGGAAATGTGATCGATGGGTCCATTCTGCTAATTTTCTTGCTCGGAGACATCTCCGGCGCGTGATCTGCACGACCTGTCAGAAGTTAACTCGTCAATGTCTTGTCGGTGATAGTTTTAATGTCGTTTTACCGGAGATAAGGACGATGGCAAGGGTTGAAGAAGATAGTAGTGATCACAAAGTCCCCTTTGTGTTTCTCTGATTTCTTTGTTTTATTTTTCTCGTAATGAAGATTAAATCTTGGTAAGGTTAATGTAATATTTTTTTCCTCTAGAAATGTTATAAGAATTTAGATTCTAAAGCTTAAAAGTTCAAAAAAAAATGAAAACCAAGAAGTACAGTTAGACAAATATAGCAAAACTGATGCGGTTCCAATAAGTTTTAAGAAATCAATAACAACTCTTACTATGGCAAACATAATCTGCCTTTATTTTTTTTTTTTTTTTTCCTCTAGATTTATTATTTATTACAAATTATGAGAACTGTTACATATACGCACTACAAGAAATATTAGCATTGATAGCACATGACGATAGCGCATTTTTCGTCACTGCTATTAAAGATGGTACTCAAAGTTCGGTAACTATATCATAGCATTTCAAAAATACTAAGACTAACAATAGCAGAATGAAAAACTAAAATCACTTTGAACCGGCGCACTTAGCAAAATTTTTATGTTTAGCGCTCCACCAAATTAAAAAAAAAATCCATTTGTTGCCAAACAAAACCTAATTTTTCTCATATTTGCCTCATTATCTTCTCCTCATACCTCTTCGTTCTCTTCGAGACCTTTAATTTTTTATAAAGTAACGCTCTCTCATTTTTTTTTTGTCTCACCTTCAACCCTAAATCCCCTTTCTCCATCTCCAAAAAAACAACAGATCTAAAAAAACACAGATCTTCCACTTATCCATACTTTGAAGATCCTCTTCTCCTCATCGTCTTTCTCCATCTCCAAATTGTCGCCGCGTCATCAATCTTCCATATCTGAGAACGACCGATGGTACTAGATCCGCCGGGGGTCAAAATTTCTCCGATTTGGTCTGGTTCGAGCTCAAGTATCCTTCATCCTGAATCGGGTCCGTTGGTTTCTCCATCTATAGACTTGGCTGGTTTGTTGTGGTTCGAGCTATGGCGAAGTCTCAAACAGATCAGAGGAATAAGGTTACTTTTCTGCAATTTCAAATTCATGATTCAATTTCAATTAGAAATTAATTTTTTGTTTGTCTTTTTTTGGATAGAGAGGGAGAAAGAAAGAGTCTTGGTTTGATGAATCCTCTAAAAAAAATTCGTTTCCAAATCCTTCTTCTTCGTCATCTCCGTGGGCATTTGCGTTCCACATTTTTTCTTGTTACTTCTTCATGTCTAGCTTCTTGTTCTTCTTCGTATTCGTGAGTCTCTTTCAAATCTCTCTATCATTATCAGTTTTCAACTTCTGGGTTTAGGTAACTTCTTCATCATTAAAATGTTGTTTCATGATAATAAAAAGTCAAGTCCGAGTTCGTTTCTATCTCTAGTTATAATCGTTACTGATGTGAAAGTTTCTTATACTCATATGAGTTACAGCTTACTGTGAATTTGTGATGGTGAAGAGACTTGAAGGTGCTAAAACGGTGATGACGAGTGAAGAAGCGAGTGATGGTAGATGTATCAAAGATTGTCGCCAAAGCAAGAAGCTGCTTGTTCGCATCAAGCAAACTCAAGTAAGTTTTTAGTTTAGAATGGAATATAAATGTAATTGATAATTTTATTGCTTCGACGCTTTTGTTTTGATAACATTTCCCGTAGGTGATTGATTCATCTAAGATATATCTTCTTATAATTGATGGGGTTGAGAATGATGACGAGTCTAACGGGCAAAAAGAGTTTTATCATGACCAGGTGAGATTTTCTAATTTACCATGCTCGAGTCTTCTGAATCGTAATGTTCATTGAGAATGATGACGATTCTAATGGGCAAGAAGAGTATGTGATATCATTGAAGGAAAGGTATGTGAATCAACTGACTCTATCATCAGTATCTTGAAATGTTGGTGATGGTTATGACTAACATTTCTCTCTTTCTTTAATTGGAGCGTCATCTTGTGCTTGGTGTGATTTCGTGAGGCTATAATGCTGCTACTGCTATTTGTTTTTGGTAATGGTGAATGTGTAAATAATCTTTATTATTGTTGTTCTGTCTAGATACAGTTGCTAGCAGACTTAAACTTGAAGAAAACTCCCAGCTGGTGGAGTTGGTTGCTGATAGCAATATAAAATTACTCACTCATAGTGAAAATTTTGACTTTGTTTTGAGCACAAGGTACGACTGTTTGTTGCTTCTTTAATGTCCAATTTATTATACATGATGGGAATAATCTCTATGATTTCATTTACTTTGAGAATGTTGCTTATGCCCATGTTTGTGTTGAGCTTGCTCTAGCTTTAGGAGGATATGTTTCAACAAAAGCTGCAGGACATGCCTTAGTATTCTAAAGTGGAGTTTTGTCTCAGTTTCACAAAACTGTAGATAGCATATTTTTTTGAATTGAATGGTAAGGTTCTTCTTCTTGTACTAACGTTGCAGGAGCTTATAGTGTCATTCGGGCTATTCGAGATTGAAGAGCATGTTGGGAGTGAAGAAGAATGTCATTCAGGCTATTCAAGAAGCTTGAAGAACTTGTTAGGAGTGAAGAACATGATTCCTAGTTGTATAGTTAGTCTAAGACTTGGTTTGATATAACTTGGATGGTATGTTCAAACCCTTATGATTAGTATTCTTGTTGTGAAGAGTAGTGCTAAAGTAGTATATAGAAGTGTGGATATTAGTTTAACTATTGGATTGAGACTTACGTTGTATGAATTGATGTTTGGTTTATGAAATGATGTTATATCTTTTGGATGTTTATATATATATATATTAAATAGCTTAAAACAACTGCATAAAATAAGAGTCATAACACTGAATATTATAGCATTGTAAAAACAATATATCATAACCTATATACATTGCCATTATAAGTCGATATATCAAAGCTTTTTACTAATGCTATGGTAGAATACTCTATCATAGCATACGACAAAAACGTTATCGTATGTGGGGGGTCTACAATAACAGGGGCATAAGACAGCGTTTATGAAAACGCTATTGATGACATATAATAGCTCTTCTCTCTTGCTAATAATGTAGATATTTCTTGTAGTGACGATTTTACAACTGACAATTCCTTCCGACCCTTATTAGATTCACGATAGACATCACATTTTCACCTCCTTCTTCATGCTCACCTCCTTCTTCGTGCTCTTGATGGACACTTCCATCTCTGCGTAGAATCCTGGCGAACGGCTATAATTATACATCGCTGGAGATCTCATGCACACTTGCCTCCAATAATCTGCAAATATATTAATAAATCGCAGTATATGGGACTCGAACCCCATACCTCTGGGTGTAGAAGCATTAATTAATTCTTGATCAACCAATGGGCCAAAGGGACTTCCACAAATCTGCCTTTATTCATTGGCTTTATTTTTCTTAAACAAGAAAACAATACAACGTTACAAATTACAATCAAGTGAAATGGAAAAGTAAAGAGTGGTCCAAAACACAAAGAAGACACATATTTTTCTATCTTTAACATTTAATTGAGTATAAAGAACTATAAGTAAGAAAGAGTCACTGGCTCTTGTTTTGTTTCTTCATTTGGTCTGCTCGTCTCGTTGCTGTATGACCGGTAGGTTCTTTGGTCGCATCATAAACAGAGGAAATTCTCTAGTAAAAAAGAGACAACTTTGAGATTTTTTTTCTCCATTTGGTATCACGTTTGCCTTGATTTCAGGGTTTTATAGTTTGATCTTGTATACTTTTTTTGTTACTTCTCCGACAAGAAACTGTTCATCCCGTGGATGGAGTGAGATTATTCTTTAATTGAGACTTTATCGCAGTGAAGAATCACTAGTTCACATAACCAGTGACGGATCATACTCAAATGTTTCTCCAGATTTCACAAATCTTCCTTTCACTCGTTTTCTCGTATCAGCTCTAGCTTTGCGTGATGCATATCGTATTTGCTTCCCAAACCTAAAAAAGTTGTACTCACAATTATCAAAATTTATCCTTAGAGATTATGTTTCAATAGCATAAACCTTGACTCTTTTGCTAAAAAACTTACATGCGCTTTGATTTCTTTTGTTTGTATCTCTTTTTAGCCTCATCCCTTGATTTTGGATTAAAACTGACTTCAACATTCGATTCCCATGGCGAATCTCCTATGAGAAACCCTGGCGAAATTCCGCAATCTTGGTAATCAGTCGCACTGTTTTCTCCTGTGATGTTTGACATCGAAATTGACATGCTCGGAACAACATTTCCGGATAACGCAGGAAGCAGTAATGAAGGAATTCCAATGTTATTCTCTTCCTTAAAAGACTCCTCATACTGGTAACATTTGGTATTATCAAGTGATGAACATCCGATAATATCATTGCTTGCGTTGAAATTCAATGGCGCATCATCCAAATTTATCCCTTCGCATAGATCCAAACCAGAACATTCCTGCATAGAGAATGGAATATAAATGAAAAACTGTGCTCTTTATCATAATTTAACATTTTGGTATATTACTTAAACAACACGTTACCTCCTCTATCACTTTAGGAAGATTAGATTCCATGGAAAAGAAAGAAGAATAGTCTTTAAGATTCTGAGTTTGTGTAATCACGGAAGTTGATGAACCATTCCAATCGTCTAATTCCTGGAGCAGGGTATCAGGAAATGGAGAGACCCAATTTGAGACAGAAGGTTCTAAAATCGAAGACCAGATCTTGGCGAAATCTGATGGAGAAGGACAACCAGAGTAAGGATTCAGATTCTGAAGTCTGTGTCCTAAACCAGTGCAGTTAGTTGCGGTCCATTGACATCCTTGACAAAGAGAAACCTTCTCGTTCATACAGTGGATTACCGTGGGTTGCAAGAAACATTTCTCGCAGAGTAAAGTCCGTGTGTGTCTTTGAGACAGAGGATTCGCTGAGTGTATATTAACATCACAGTTTAAACAAAGTTTAGCCAAATCGGATTTGCAGTAAATTAATGCTTTTTCGGTTTCACAATAGTCACATCGAGCCTCCATACTTCTTCAAAGCCAAAACTCGAATAGAAATAACGATTTCTCAATCCCAATCGCTACACACACCTATAATCCTGCACCATATAAGGATCGTGAGACAAAATCAAAACATTTAGAGATCAAATATGTTTATATGAAACATAGGAATTAGATCGTAGCAATGAAGGTTCATTATAGGTTCCTGTGTTTCTTTAGTGTGTGACTGTGACTCATACATCTATGTGTGTGTGTGTGTGTGTGTGTGACTCAATGGAGGTTAGAGAAGCAAGCACTCACAAACTAAGAAATGGTGGATTCTCGAGACCGATCAGTACTATTACTAAAATCATACAATGTCTAGAAACTCATAACCAATATATGAAGAAATTTTCGAAACAGAGTATAACAATAAACGTGTAAAATCGTTTGTGTTTTAGGGTTCCAAAGATAGAAGCTTTACAAGGGTGTGTGAGTCCCAGTGGAAGGAGATGAGAAAGAACAGAGAAGAAAAGGTTTTGCTCTGTTTTTATTCTGTGTGGGGTCCACCTAGTTAAGTGGGTTTTTGCCACGTGGGGTATCTTTTGTCACGTGTTTTTTTTTTTTGTTCGTTAGATTTTTTTGTTGTCCTAATGTGGTTGACCATAAATTTCGGAGTTTTAGTTTGATTCTTTAGTTAATTTGTGTGGCTCGCAAGAAAGTTTCAAGATGTTTATTGAAAAACGTGTAAATGTTTAATTACGTAGACATTCATTTAGAACACGTTTTCTTATTCAAAACATCCGAGTAATAAGACTAGTTCGAAGCAAATTATTCCGAGCGTTGGTTTAACGAACTTAATTATGAGTTTGCAGCATACTAGTCTGGTTTGATTAACCGGTGGTTATGGATACTTATAGTATCAATTTTTCTAACTTACAAAGTCTGTTCTCACATATAAAAAGAAGAGAGGTTAGAGGCACTTAGATGATTGAAAGAAAACTTTGTGAAAAGCATTTATTCGATGACAAATGATTGATTTTTCATTTGTGATTTTTTTCCCGACTACAGCATCCAATTTTCGACGAATTTTCTCCGATTCAAGAAACAATTTCTTTTCGAAGGAAAATATGTATTTGTTTCGGCACAAAACTATTAGATTAATCTTAAAAAAAACACTACTCATTAATCCAATTTTTAACCAATTCCTCCAATTCAAGAAACAATTTCTTTTCGAAGGAAGAGGTGTATGAGTGTCGCAAAAAACTACTCTGATTAATCTTAAGAAATAAAACTTAAAATAAAAAATCAGATATAATAAAGAATTAGCCATGCCATTTTCACATGATTCATTATAGTTTTTTGGCAAAGGTTTCTGGCTTTTAGGCCTGGAGTCTCCTTGAACCAGATACCGTAGAAGGATACGTAGTCTACTCTCCCTAGCAATCGAACTTAAGAACTTAAGATGCACTGTTTTTGAAACAGTTCCTAATGCATTGCACGCACGAAAAAGGTTAAAGGTACTTGTCCGCAAATCAACACTGTCAATGCAATAGCTGACACAATCGGTCATATTGTCACTTCCATGTGTCCCTAATTTTCATTAAATGTCCAAAAATCAACTCATTCGACCAAACACTTGTTTCCTGATAAGTCAATTGTTTTGTTAATCACTTTCATAGGAGTCCTGAATTCATTAAAAGTCCAAAAACAGTTCATAGTTGTCAACTTGTTTTCCAAAAGTAGCAAAGGAAACAACATTTGAACATAGAAACTGTTTACATAAAGTCCTAAAATCTCCGAAAATCAAAGAAGTGTCAACTTTGAAGCTCGCAAAGAAGTGTCAACTCCGAAAATCAATGAATAACGAGGAAAAACAAGTGGCTGTTTCCCCGTAATATCCCCATATGCCCCTCATAGTCTCTAGCATCTCAGCAACTTTACCAATCTTGTAAGAATTCCATAGACATTGTAGCACTCACAACAATGCAACGATCGTCTGTTGATGAAAAAGCTAATATAAGAGCTGAAAAAGCAGCAAAAGATGTCAAATGAAATGAATACGTAGTCAACAAATTACACATACTATAGTTGTTATTATGTGCGAGGCATTTCCAGGATCAAAAGGCAGGGAAGATAGCAAGATGATCAGGATATACCACAACAAATATAGCGTCACAAGCCATTATACCTGAAGGAATTGTGTTTATCCTTCAGAATTGGTAATGGACGCCAATACAAAAACCTAAAAACACTTAAAAAAAATATTTCTTCAATAGGGGAAAATTTGTTTCAATATGCTCAGTGGAAGGAGAAGTCGTTTAAATAGGAGAGCTCACGGTATAACCACTGCTCTTCTCACACTCTTCGTGCTTTTCTCTCATCATTGCATCATCAATCACAAATTAAATAAAAAAACATTGAAAGAACAAAGCTTCAGTGTGTGTAACAAATTCAGTTCATTGATTCAAGAACCTCACTGAAATCCGCTAAGATAATTGTTTTCTATCATCATCAGCTTATATAAGCCAAACAAGGACAAAAACATCAATCAAACCAGATAATAATAATCCAACAAAACTAAACTAAACATTGTAAGAAAAACATAAAAGCTTCAGTGTGTGTAACAAATTCAGATCATTGATTGAAAAACCTCACTGAAATCCGCTAAGATAATTGTCTTTTATCATCATCAGCTTCTCCCCCAAACAAGGACAAAAACATCAATCAAATCAAACAAAAGATAAGATTTTTGTGTGAAAGGGTAATTAATACTCAGACAGCCAAGGGTTAATCTTCAACTTCTGGGAGAAGAATCCCAGATCTGAAACTCTAGTCCACATACACTTGTATCATCACCATAGTAACCCCTTCCACACATCACAAATCTCTTACACAAAAACCCTAAAAATCACCAATTTTATCATATACAGACACGAAAATAGTCACATACCTATCCCTAAAATAACCAATTATATCAAACAGACATGAAAAGAGAGCAAGATCCTACGAATTTGTAGAAAACGAAACCATATAAATACACACAGAGAGACAGAAAGAAACTCTTCTGTGAGAAATTAGGGTTTCCTTCGGCGGCTACCATATCTATATTTTAGGTTTTCCTTGGCCCAACAATGCTAAATGGGCCAGCTTACGTGACCCAACAAACAACTTCATTTACTTTATAAAATAATCCCTTTACTTTTACCAATTCTAAACCCAGCCAACACGGAAAGTCCAAAAACCCAAAAAAAAAAAAAACAGAAATGAAGATGATTGAGCTCGTGTTCATACCTTCGCCGGGAATTGGCCATCTCCGGCCAACCGTGAAGCTAGCAAAGCAACTCATCAGCAGCAACGACCATCTCTCAATCACCGTAATCATCATCCCTTCCAGAAACGACGCCGGTGATGCAACCGCCTATATCGCATCCCTCACGACAGAGTCTCAAGATCGTCTCCGTTACGAACCCATCTCCGTCGTAAAAGAACCACCAACCGCCAATCTAGAACCTTCTCAAGTCTACATCGAGAAACAAAAACCAAAAGTGAGAGACACAATCTCCAGAATCATCAATCCAACACGAAAACTCGCTGGATTCGTGGTGGACATGTTCTGTTCCTCGATGATCGATGTAGCTAACGAATTCGGAGTTCCGTGTTATATGATCTACACATCAAACGCTACGTTTCTGGGAATCACACTTCACGTTCAACAAATGTACGACGACAAGAAATGTGACGTCAGCGATTTGGATGAGTCAGTCAACGAATTGGAGTTTCCGTGTTTGACTCGTCCTTATCCAGTGAAATGTCTTCCTCATATCCTCACTTCAAAGGAGTGGTTACCATTCTTTGTAGCTCAAGCTAGATTTTTCCGGAAGATGAAGGGTATTTTGGTAAATACATTTGCTGAGCTAGAACCTCACGCTTTGAAAATGTTCAATAATGTTGATCTTCCTCAAGCTTATCCTATTGGACCAGTGTTGCATCTCGAAACCGGTGAAAAACAATCGGAGATTTTGCGGTGGCTCGATGAGCAACCGCCGAAATCTGTTGTGTTTCTTTGCTTTGGAAGTATGGGAGGTTTCACTGAGGAGCAAACTAGAGAGGTAGCTGTCGCGTTAGATCGAAGTGGTCACCGGTTTCTTTGGTCTCTCCGTCGTGCATCGCCGAATATAATGATGGAACGTCCCGGAGATTATACGAATCTTGAGGAGGTTTTACCGGAGGGGTTCTTGGAGCGGACGTCGGATAGAGGGAAAGTGATAGGATGGGCACCACAGGTGGCGGTGCTAGAGAAACCGGCGATAGGAGGGTTTGTTACTCATTGTGGTTGGAACTCGATGCTAGAGAGCTTGTGGTTTGGTGTTCCGATGGTGACGTGGCCGCTTTACGCGGAGCAGAAGGTTAACGCGTTTGAGATGGTGGAGGAGTTGGGGTTGGCGGTGGAGATACGTAAGTGCATTAGAGGAGATTTGTTGTTGATCGGAGAAATGGAGACGGTTACGGCGGAGGATATAGAGAGAGCTATCAGGCGTGTGATGGAGCAGGATAGTGATGTAAGGAGTAGAGTGAAGGAGATGGCGGAGAAGTGTCACGTGGCGTTAATGGACGGTGGATCTTCGAAGACGGCTTTGGAAAAGTTTATTCAAGACGTGATAGAGAATGTGGATTAAATTGGATAAAGAGACGCACTCACATGTTGAGTGTTGACTATGAGATAGATGACTCAGGTCCAAGGATTATGTGTGTTAATTGTTGTAATGTCGTCTTCATTTTTTTTTTTTTGTTGGAATTTGTAGACGTACTGTGTTTGGGTGTCTTTTTAATTTTTTAAATCGATTATAATGTATTTCAATTAATAATGTGAAAATTCCGAGCTAAATTTATACTCCTTCCGTTTCGTTTTAGTTGTCGTTCTAACTGATTTCACACAAAAAAAAAAAAAATTTAAAGTTATTATTTTACATCTAATTAATACATTATTTTGTTTCATATAAGTAATTTAATAAACTTAAAAAGTAGAGATAAAACTGAAAAATTTATCATAAATCTGCATTGAAAATACCAAACGGCAAGTAAATATAACACAAAACTTTAACTCTAAACGACAACTAAAACGAAACGGAAAAAGTATATTATAATTGTATGAAATATGCTTGACTTTATGTAATAAAATGTGATACATAAATTTTTGTTTCACATAAAAATGGGATTCTTTTATTCAAATTTGTTTGGTTGTAATCCGGTAGTTTATTAATTTTTACAAAAGAGAATTAGATTAACCACTTTTCTTTTGACGGCATTTAAGAGGTTTTCATTGGTTCAATGAAATCTATATAAGACTCGGAAATTTTCATTGATTTTGAAATCAAACATGAATTTTAGATAACATTGTTTAACTACAAATTTAAGTTTCTTCTAATTTTCACTTTCAAATTCAGCTAAAAGCTAATGTGGACTTTAAAATCCAAATAAAAATCATTAAACGAATAACACATTATTTTAACTAGTATTTAAAATTATTAAATGAATAACACGTGATTTTGAAAAGAATTTTAAATATCAAATACCCTAACACTAGATTTATAAATCAACTAAAACCATGTAGAATTAGGATGATTGTTTTTACTTTATTAAGCTTTATTTTTTATTTTTTATTTTTTTGTCAAATTTTATTTTAGATTGCTTATACGAATTTGAATGGGGATAATAATTGTTTTAATTTTAAGAACCAAACCCATATGGCTACATAGATTAAGGCAAATTGGTAATAAAAAAAAAATCAATAGATGGGTAGTCATGGTCCGTTAATTCAGAACAATAGGAAGCTTTAGGCTGTATATTTTCGTCAAACTTTGTTCATACCAAAACCAGAACTGTATATAGATATCAAGAACATAAGCATGATTAGACTGCGTGATTGAAATCATTCACAGTTCTGTTTCTCAAATTCAAATAAGAAAGTTAGCGGGGTGACAAGGATTGAGAGAGAAATTAGTTTTTTAACAAAATCCATAACAATGAAAATTTTAGCCACCTTTTTTGCCAAATATAACTTTACGCGCCCCCTCCCTATTTTGTTTTATACTCGATCTATTACATGAGACAAACGGATGATTTTGATCGTTTCTTGACTTTTAGTTGTCTATTTATGTTAATAGTGATCTATTTTTTGATAAAAAAAGATTCTTGCTCTCTTCTTTCTCTCTTATCTTTTTGAATTATTAAACGTGATTAAGTTTTGGAATTTATCGTAGTTAATTTTCATTTATTCAAGATTTATCACGCTTCTTATTACTTCTCGTCTATGGTAACCGATTTGCTATAGACGAAAAAATTGTGATTATATTTGATGGTTCGACGATTTTGGTTCAATGGCGAAAACCCGCTAGCGATGATGGAATCTAATCAATAGTACTAGGATGATGAATCACACCTAAGATGCAGTTATGACTTGACAGAATTTGATGAAGATCCGGTGACAATTAGATGGAATCTGGTGAAAATTTCGGTGACAATTCTGTGAAAACAGACGGAAATCTTTTAAAAATCCGATGAAACATATGATTTCAATGATATTTCGGTCTCTAAATAACACTCTATATACATGTTTACATGTATATAAATATTAATAATGTTTTATGTATGTGTTTCTCTGCATATAAATAAATTTACCCTCTATGTACATGTTACATGTATGTCAATGTTAATAGCGCTCTATATATATATTTATATGCATATATAGATCGAATAACTTAACACTATCACTATTTTTAACGCTCTATATATGTGTAAACATGTGTACAAATGTTAAAGACGTGTAATGTATGTTTGTAATGTGCTAAAACTTGTCCAATTTGAGAAAACAACGGTTAATAATAGTCTTATTGTCATTAAATACCCACTTGCATTAAATATATATCAGAATTAAATGTTTTTGCCGAAAAAGTCAACTTTGTTATTTTACGCATGACAAAATCATAGACTGGTTTTTGTGTAATTTTTTCGAACTTAAGACCCAATTATAATGTAATTTATCCCTTGTCTTGAACTATTGTCTTTTCACTAATATACTATTCTATTTTTGTCTCTGCGCCAGTCGTCCCTATTAATAAGGGCTGCCTGTAGGTGGCATCCTATACTATAGTCGCTCAACTAGAATCACCCTGTACTATTGTCCTCTACCCAATTCACCCTATACTAATTAAAGTCTTCCCAATTCGACCTAATCTTCTAATTTCTACCTATTTCAACAAATTCAATCAATCCATTTAATTGCGTTTAAAAATCATAATATCGCGATTACTGTACCGCGATTATACTAAATCGAGTTTAAAAACCATAACCCGAATTGAATCTTATAACCCGAATTGAAACCTTCTTTCTGAGCAAGAGGTTTTTGATTTCTGTTTTAAAGCCCAAATCGTTGGAAATCTGCATCTACAATCCCTCAATGCCAAAGAAGAACCCTAATTTCTAATTTTTCTCCAATTCGATTTGGGGAAAACTTCTGGTGTCAAGGCTTTAGATTTTTTTTTTTGTTTTCGGTGTTCTCAGAGGCTCCGCTATATATTGAGACGGACCTTCTAGTTTATGTGTGGAGGGATGACAAACTTCTGTTCTAAAAAGAAAACATGTTTTATATTTTTAGTATTTGTTATGGTTTCCACCATTGTTAATAAATTCTATGGATAATATGTTTATTATCACATTTTTTTTGTGTTACCAAAAAAAATGTTCTTTCTGTTACATGTGTTATATGCAAAAAAAAAAAGATATTTGAACTGTTTACCATCATACTAATTATCACTTTATAGCACAAATTCGAGAAACACGACATACAGTACTTAACATCAATTAAAATACCTTACACATACCCATACACATTCTGACATTCCACATACACACATAGTTTGACCCCAAGAAAAACACACATCCACCTATTATTATGGGTAAATTGCATGGCAGGGCAGAAGACCAACTTTTATTTTCATGGTTTGGTAAAGTGAGAATTAGTTCTCAAATTTTGACACTTTAGCCAAATTCTGACCATTTTACCCCTGCCAGCGTAACGATGTACTGTTCACTGTACGGTTTAGTTATGCGGTTTAGTTACGTACACTGTTCCGGTTAGGCAATATATTTTCGTTTTAATTTCTGCGGCTGCACAGTAAAATAGGGATTAATAACATTAAAAAACAATGAGACATCAGTATTTAATGCCCAAAAAGTTTAGACATGACTCATGTCACAATTAATGCAAAAGGCATCATTACTTTTTCTAATATTAGTTTATATGTGTGAATAGTTGTAAGAGATAAACATGATCCATCAAACAAACAAATTAGTCTGAACGAATGTGATGCTGGAGAAGTTTTGATCTTCTTGATTTACAAAGCTTGGAGCCAAGACAAGCATTGATCGTGTAAGTAATGAAATTGGTTAAGAAGTTTTTTGTTATAACACACTAGGGTCTTGATTGTGTTCGAAATCAACATTGTTTTTATATAAAAACCCAGAATATTTTTATTTCTAATTTTTTTAGTTGAAAATGCTAAATGAGGATAGATTTATGTATATAAGTGTGTAGTTGGGAATTCTTTTTGTTTTTTGTAGATATAATCATGCTTTCATTTGCATTTAATGGGGTTCTGCTGAATTTATGATGCAGGTGTGTAATGGATATTCCCGTATTTACTATGGTGGGTGAGTGGAGATGCAAAGAAGAAGAATGGTAATTTGAACCATGGAAAGACTGGTTTGGTCGTTGTGTACGTGTTAAGGAAAACATGACGTACACGGAATTTGTACGTACATTATCCGAGGTTTTCAGTTCGAAGTCCACCGAATGCAATCCAATAATTAGTAATTGGATGCCGGGAAAGATGTCAGTGATGATAGAAAGTAAACGCCCTCCTGTCAATATTGACAATCAAATGAGCCTGGATACCTTCTTTTTGATTCGTGGTGGGATCCTAGTGTCACCTTGTTTGTCTCTTTCATTACAACCGTCAAGGCACTCGGGAATATTGTCCCTAGGACCGATGGTGACGATGGTGAGAGTTACCGTGTGTGTGGGAGTGCAACGACACCAAATCTCATCGTAGCGGCTTCAAATGTAGATGGAAATAATGAGGCCGTAGATGAGCAAGACGACGTTGAAGACGATAAAACAGATGAGGATGAAGAAGAGGAGGACAACGAAGATGGTGCTGGGTATGATGATTATCAGGGTGATGATGGATCTATGGGGGGAAGTACTCTCGATCCTACTATAGACGGTAGTGAAGGCAGTGGCGAAGATTACGATTACAACAAGTGGAACGATGTAATTGTTGAAGAATATGGAATAGGGAATGTTGAGGAGGACGTCATTCTCACTCAACAAACGGTTCAACATCCAGGGGAATTCAGTTGTCTATTGGCAGAGTGTACGTACACAAGTTATCGTGTACCTGGCGGAGATAACTTTTCTCATTTGGGTGACAGTACACCAATTGTGACTCCAACACGTACGTGTCAACATGGTTTGTACAATGTACGTACACTAGAGACTGTGTACAAGATACATGCTGCGAAAGTGATTTTGTTACGTACACGGATACCAATATTAATGGTATAGACAAAGTCACTGGGATGATGTTCTCGAGTGTGGTATTAGAGCTTCAGCAAGTGGGTCACTGAATGATCATCGGCTAGTTACCGCAGCTGAAACTTACGAATATATGCTACTTGTACGTACAGTTATACGCCATTATTAAAATATATTGTCTGTGTACGTTTTACTAGTTTAATCAGCTATGTACGTATTTAGTGTACGTACACCAGAGACAAAGTCTTTCATACTTGTTGGAATATACTAAGTGGTCGTATGTTTTACTAGTTTAATCGGCTATGTACGTAATATTAGTCTTACGCTATGTACGTATTTAGTGTACGTACACCAGAGACAAAGTCTTTCATACTTGTTGAAATATACTAAGTGGTCGTACGTCTTACTAGTTTAATCCGCTATGTACAAAACCAGTGTACGTACACAAAACCATACGTATTTCATACATGTTGTCTGCAAACAACAAAAAGTTCATTCATTCATAATATAACTGCCCGAAAAAAAGGAATACAATGCATAAAGACAAACAGAGTATAGTAGATTACGAAGAAATAAACTAAAGAGTAGAGCCAAAGCATACACATGAGGAGGAAAATATTATCCTTCATCCGTGATAGCAATGTCAAATCTAATAGAAGATACACATCTCCCTCACGTACCAATAGAAGAAACACCCTATGCAGCATTGACCGTACGTGCAGTTGCCAACAGCAAGCCGGAGTGTGGACTTGTACTATAACAATCTGCAGTCGGAGCCACACTTGTACTGCCTGCAAGTACTGTCATAAACAATTAAGTAAGGAAAACATGTAAACAATCTGAATTCGCGTACGTACACAGGAATTATCAACATAATATCCTCAAATATGAATTTTGGCGGAAATAACAGTTCTAATTGAACTTCTCAAATTTTCAAACTACTGATTTTGCAAATTCCGGCAAGTTATTACCCTTTAATTACACAAGCTTTAAGAATCCGATACACCCAAAGAAACTACAAACAAAATAATATCAGAACTTACCCAATTTCTCCGGCGGGTTTGTCGGAGATAGTTTATTCCTCGGGAAAACTCTGACTTCCCGATTCTCCTTCTGGGGGCCTTGCCGCGTATAATGCTTCGTCGGGACATCGGCGTTGGGTTTATTCCCAAACATCTCGATGGTTGCTATCTCGCCGGAATTTCTGAGTTCCTCTTCGCCGGATAAACTATAAGTTTCTCTTCGCCGGTTTTTAGAGTTCAATGCGATACCTCAAATCAAGTTGCGAACAATTCAAACGGTGATGTCGTGTACGTTTTAGAACCGTTAATATACATATATATATATATATATATGTATATATGTAAATAATCTCAAATTAATTTTCTAAATATCTAAATTTAAGTATTAATATCTAAAACTATTCAAATAAAAATACATAGTAAGATATCTGATATGTATATACAAACACCAAAAAAAGTATACACGACACTTGTTTCTAAAATCCTATTAAGAAAATCAACATTCTCAAATGTCTTTTAGCAACATGAAAAGATAGAGAATGAAATGAATATATATATATATATATATATATATAGAGAAAAAGAAATGTTTTTATCTATTAAAAAAAATATTTGTTTCTCCCGTTAAAATACCATCAATATTGGTTTGTTATACCAAATAATACGGTTAGTGCCAGTGGCGGATTTAGAAACAAAATTTATATGGGACACATTATAATTAATAATTTCAAACTTATTTAATAATAAAATATTAAATGAATCTAATATCAATTTAAAATCTGAAAAGACGCTAATTTTAATGAAAATACATCTAAATATACTCAGATACATATGTTAGATATATTTAAAATACATATTTTTAATTTATTAATTAGAAAAGGCATTAAATAAACTAGGTAACAATATCACCCAAATTTAAACTCTAAAACAATAAATAAACTAGGTAGATAATATTTTTAACTAATTTACTAATTTTATTAACATTTTAAGATTAAAATATAGGTATTAATACTTTAGGGTAAAATTAAAATTAGTTACTTTTCAGTTATATAACTGAAAGAACATTGTTTTATACAAGAAAAAAAACATGTAGGAATTGGAAGGCACCAAAAGAGGACGTGGACAAATAAAAGAAAGTGTACACAAAAAAAGAATTAAAGCAAAAAAAAAGTTCATAGAGAGGCATCGAACTGGGCGCTCAAGACATAACATGGGGCACTTAATGCCAAATGAGCCAAGAAATCTCAACATGTAATTGTCAATATAAAATTGTTTAACAATCAGCCTGAGACACGTGCACTGTTTCTTCTTCGTTTCTTCTTGCAGCCCTCCGCCGCATAGCCTTTCGTTCTGATAAACACTGTTTATTTTCTAATTCAAACTCCAGTTCTCATATTATCACAGAGTTTACTCAGAATTAAACTACCTACTAAAAAGATTTAGTCAAGTGTTTTGGCCATATCTTTGGACGCTTCCAAAACATTTAAATACGCTTCCAAATCAGAAACGTTCGCTTCCTCTACGCTTCCAAATTCTGCTTTTTAAGAACGCGATTCCGAACGATTCCGGACACTTCCGGTTCTGGTTCCGCTTCTGAAGTGAGAATCGATGCTTGAGTGACGCTTCTGTGTAACGTAATCTTCGATTTCTTCTTGGTTTCTTCGTAATTGTTTTTTTTTAATTCAACACCAAACCGTAAAACAAATAAAAAGTAACTAAACCGAAATCAACAGTACCGTTTGGTTTAACTCATTAGGGGTATTTTCGTCATAAAAAACTTTAACTGTCAATCCATGAGAATCAAATCTCAGTTTGCCAAAAGCTGAGAGAAAATCTTTTTTTCATCATAAACCTGAAAATTTCTTATTATAGTATTACGGGACAAATTCATAAAATGTTATGTGACATGACAGACCTAAACATACACAGTCATCGTATCTCATAGGTCAATGTGATTCTCTATCTCCTTTCTAGTTTTCTCCCTACCATCAAACCAGATTCTCTGTCACGTCTTGAATAAACGTTTGCAAAGCAACCTGTGAAGATCCACCGTCCATCAACGCCACGTGACACTTCTCAGCCATCTCCTTCACTCTAATCCTAACCTCACTATCCTGCTCCATCACACGCCCAATCGCTCTCTCTATATCCTCCGCCGTGGCTATCTCCATCTCTCCGGCCAACAAATCTCCTCTTAAAGTACTTCCTTATCTCAACCGCCAATCCCAACTCCTCCACCATCTCGAAGGCGTTTATCTTCTGCTCTGCGTATAGCGGCCAAGTCACCATCGGAACACCGAACCACAAGCTCTCTAGCATCGAGTTCCAACCGCAGTGAGTAACAAACCCTCCTATCGCCGGCTTTTCTAGCACCGCCACTTGTGGAGCCCATCCGATTATCTTCCCTCTATCCAATGTCCGATCTAGGAATCCCTCCGGTAGAACCTCCTCTAAATTCGTATAATCTCCAGGACGCTCCGTCAAAAAGTTTGGCGATGCCCGGCGGAGGGACCAGAGAAACCGGTAACCATTTCTATCTAACGCGACGGCAATCTCTCGTGTTTGTTCCTCATTGAAGCCTCCCATACTCCCAAAGCAAAGGAACACAACCGATTTTGGCGGTTGCTCATCAAGCCACCGCAAAATATCCGATTGTTTTTCAACGTCGTCAAAGGTTTTTTCGAGATGCAACACTGGTCCAACAGGATAAACTTGAGGAAGATCGTCACCATTGTTAAACATTTTCACAGCTTGAGGTTCGAGCTCAGCAACTGTATTTACTAAAATACCCTTCATCTTACGAAAACATCTAGCTGGAGCTAGAAAAAATGGTAACCAATCCTTTGAAGTGAAGAAATGAGGAAGACATTTCACAGGGTAAGGACGAGTCAAACATGGAAACTCCAACTCGTTGACCGAGTCTTCCAACTCGCTGACGTCATACTTCTTCTCGTCGTACATTTGTTGAAGGTGAAACGAGATTCCCAAAAACGTAGCGTTTGATGTGTATACCATATAACACGGAACTTCGAATTCGTTAGCTACATCGATCATCGAGGAACAGAACATGTCCACGACGAATCCGGATAGTCGTCGCGAGTCAACTCTTGTTGAATCAAAGATTCTCGCGACCACATCTCTCACTTGCGGCTTTTGTTTCTCGATGTATACTTGAAGTGGCTCTGGATCGGCGGTTGGTTGATATGCGACGGAGATGGCTTCGTAGTTGAGACGATCTTGGGACGCGGTCGTGAGGGATGCTATATAGGTGGTTTCACTGTCGTCGTCGCTAGGGTAAGGGATGATGATTACGGTGATCGAAAGGCGGTAATTGCTGCCGACGAGTCGCTTCGCTAGCTCGACGGTTGACCTGAGATGACCGATTCCTGGCGACGGTATGAACACAAGCTCATTCTTCATTTGATGGTTTTTTCTTCTTTGGACTTTTGATCGATGTGTACTGTTCAGCCAGAAGAAGTAGTAAAGCCGAAGTTATATTTAAAGATAATAATCAAGTTGTTTGTTGGGCCACGCAAGATGGCCCATTTAGTTTGATTCGACCAAGAAAAAACCTTGAATAAATGGCAGCTGCTGATGGGTTTAACCGAAAGTAGTAAAAGCCCAAGTATTTAGGGGTATGTATGGGTTATGGTGCAAATGTTAATGTAACATCAATATATTGATGTAGCACATATGCAAGATTAAGCTGCAGTATAAGAGGTTTTTTACTTTCTATGCTTGAGATCTTACTAATAGACGATTTAGCTCTACTGGTATAATACGTCAGCGGTTGTGAAGGGTTTTATTACTCCCTTTATTCTTCATTTTTTAATCCAGAAGGATGTAGTTTTGTGAGATGTTAAAATTATACACGTTTGTATATATGCGTGGAGAGTTATATTGCGGTTTTGTTATAGCTTGAAGGGTTTTCTTGCATTTTATAATTGGAAGATAGACATAGACTCCAAAATAAAATAAAAAAGATACTTTTAGCACAAAATCATTTAATGAATTAAACGAAGATAATTATGAAACGATAAAATATTGTTGGTTTTATTATATAACTAATGATGTAAAGGAGTATACGAAAATCTCTTATGAATTTCTGTTTACTTGTAGCAACCAAAGAAAGACTTCCGTTGTCTTCTAAAGTTTTAGCCATATAATATATACAATTTGTACCATTTTTAATGAAGTAATTGCTGGAAATGAAGTCTAATGAACTGTTATGAAGTGTTAAGTAAATTAACACGAGTTCATTAATAGAAGGAGACTGTTGACTTCAGTGCTTCGGAGACAAGAGCTTCGGTATGTAAACAGCGTCATTAACAAGAGCTTCGGTATGTAAACAACGTCAAATTCCGACTCTACCAATCAATGACATGTCCATAACCCAAATATGTTGGGAGGAGAGAGGAATTCCTTTAAAGTTTTCTATGTTATATATTTGTATATATTTTAGAGTATAACGTTTCTTTTCCGAAATATTTTTAATTCGGTAGGTTGAGTTTTTCTATGTAATTGCTGAAAATGAAGTCTAATGAACTGTTATAAAGTGTTACTCCATCAATTGTCATTCTAGCGTTTTTTACACAAATTTTAAAAAGTAAACAAATTTTTTTTTTTTTTTATTAATACACTAGGTAATACTTTCTCACTAACTAATAAGCTGAAATACTGTAGTATGACTAAAAAAGAGAATTAGACTTAAAAACTGTATTGAAAATACAAAACGACATTTTTTCCGAAACAAGATAAAAACCTTAAAACGATATTTTTTTTTGTTAAACGGAGGGAATAGTAAATTAATAGAAGTAGATTTTTGACTTCAGTGCTTCGGAGACAAGAGCTTGGGGATGTAATAAACAAGTTGTTAAGTATAATATATAATACACATTCTACTTGATTAACTCCGACTCTACCAATCAACCAAAAGTCGAAACCCAAAAACAGAAATGAAGATCGAGCTCGTGTTCATACCGTTGCCGGGAATTAGTCATCTCCGACCAGCCGTGAAGCTCGCAAAGCAACTCATCGAGAGCGACGACCGTCTTTCGATCACCGTAATCATCATCCCTTCAAGATTCGATGCCGGTGATGCATCCGCCTCTATCGCACCTCTCACGACGGATCGCCTCCGTTACGAAGCCATCTCCGTCTCAAAAGAACCACCAACCTCCGATCCCACGGATCCGGCTCAAGTTTACATCGAGAAACAAAAGTCAAAAGTGAGAGATGCAGTCGCCAGAATCGTTGATCCAACACGAAAGCTCGTTGGATTCGTGGTGGATATATTTTGTTCCTCGATGATTGATGTAGCTAACGAATTCGGAGTTCCGTGTTATATGATCTACACATCGAACGCTACGGTTCTAGGAATCATGCTTCACCTTCAACAAATGTACGATCAAAAGAAGTATGACGTCAGTGAGTTGGAAGAGTCAGTCAACGAGTTGGAGTTTCCGTCTCTGAGTCGTCCTTATCCAGTGAAGTGTCTTCCTCATTTCCTCACTTCAAAGGAGTGGTTACTTCTCTTTCTAGCACAAGCCAGGTATTTACGGAAGATGAAAGGTATTTTGGTAAATACAGTTGCTGAGCTTGAACCTTACGCTTTGAAAATGTTCAACAATGTTGATCTTCCTCAAGCTTATCCGGTAGGACCAGTGTTGCATTTCGACGACGATGAAAAGCAATCAGAGATTTTGCAGTGGCTCGATGAGCAACCCCCTAAATCTGTTGTGTTTCTCTGTTTTGGGAGCTTGGGAGGCTTCACGGAGGAACAAGCTAGAGAAATGGCCATTGCGCTTGATCGTAGCGGTTATCGGTTTCTTTGGTCTCTCCGTCGTGCATCGCCGAATATAATGACCGACCGTCCTAGAGATTTCACGGATTTGGATGAAGTTCTCCCGGTGGGGTTCCTAGATCGGACATTGGATAGAGGGAAGGTGGTGGGATGGGCACCACAAGTGGCAGTGCTAGCAAAACCGGCGATAGGAGGATTTGTCACTCATTGTGGGTGGAACTCAATGCTTGAAAGCTTGTGGTTCGGTGTTCCGATGGTGACATGGCCGCTCTACGCCGAGCAGAAGATAAACGCGTTTGAGATGGTGGAGGAGCTGGGATTGGCCGTGGAGATACGTAAGTACTTAAAAGGAGATTTGTTCGCCGGAGAGATGGAGACAGTTACGGCCGAGGATATAGAGAGAGCTATCAGACGTGTGATGGAGCAGGATAGTGATGTAAGGAATAGAGTGAAGGAAATGGCTGAGATGTGTCATGTGGCGTTAATGGACGGTGGATCTTCGAAGACTGCTTTGCAAAAGTTTATTCAAGACGTGATAGAGAATGTTGCTTAAATTGGATTGAGAGAATCAGTTTCAATTGTTTTGATTTTAAGAACCAAACTCATATGGCTGGCTATTCTACTCTCCAACAGATAGTGATTTTAGGTTTGTCCGCTGAAATTTAGTTTCCCGCTTACTCATTTTCGTGGTTAGCATTTTTTAAATGCTATCATATGATAACCTCATTCAATATTTCATCTTTAATAACAGTTACAGAAAATGAGCTATTATAATGTGCTATCAATGCTCATATTTCTTGTAGTGAGATTAAGGCAAATTGATAAAAATAATACATGGCTAGCCATTGTGCATTCATATAGACTACTAGATTGTTACCCGCGGTACACCGCGGGTTAATTATTTGATTTTTTTTGTCTTTTTATAAACTGATGAATTTGTTGTATATAATATTTTTTGTTGTACATTGCGAGTCACATGCATTGTAACTAAAAATGAAAATTTTAAGTTGTATTTGTTTTGTTTTGTGTTCAAAATTGTATAATTGTATTTTGATTTGTTAATCCCAGGATTTCATCCGTGATATATTATCCCGTATTAATATCAATCCAAATCCGACCCGTCCCATCATATAATCATGTCCCGTAAAATTAAACATCATTTTGTTATTTTTTTTAATAACACTTTTATTTAAAAGACATATAATTCGAGTCCATTTAAAAGTTTGCTTTCAAATAGTTTCTATAATATATATATATATATATATATATATATATATATATATATATATATTTTTCAAATTAGTGTGTGTTTTTAGACCAACCCGTAAAAATATTTTTAAAATGTATATTAAAATACTAAATAATTGTATTTCGATTTGTTAATTTTAAGATTTCACCGTGGTATATTGTCCCGTTTTAGATAATTGTAGAAATTAAGAAAATATCTGAATGACTCAATTCCGGGTCAGAGTAAAAAAAAAAATACGACCTGATTAAACGCGCAAATTTGTTTTTCAAAAATGTTAATATAGATTGTACACATATTTTTTTCTTCATCGATTGAGTAATATGTCCGTTTTAAAAAATTTGAATCATAGCATATGCAGAAAAAAATCGAATTTTTTTATTAAGTATATATATTTTATAATAGTTCAAAATAATATAAATATAAGATCATATAAAAGTGAAATGAGAATCATATATTTATGTTTTAATTAGGTAGAGAGGTTTTAGGAAATTAGTTCAAATTTGTTATATTAGCATTAAATAATCATATTTGATTTCTATATCTATAAAAATTGTAGAGAATATGCCATAAATAAAGAGTTTAGGTATAGTAATTAGTTGAGAAAATATATATTTTTTAGATTTTATTGATTAATTTTTGTTTTTTAATTTTGTCAAAAATAAGGAAATATCCGATTGAAGATTTCTGGGTCAAAATTAAACAAAATTTGACCCGATTAGGAACCCCAAAAAGTGTTGCAAAAATGTATAGTAGATTAGGAAAATTCGTCAAACTTTGTTCTTACCAAAACCGGAATTGCAGGTAGATATCAAGAACATAAGCATGATTGGATTGCGCATTCTTGTGGTGTAAAAGTTTGTATAGTCTTCTAGTTAAATATAAGGTATGTGTAAGTTTTTGACACACTTAAAAAATCCTTTTTTTGGTTTTCCTACTTTAAAACATTATTTTTATATAATTAAAAACTATTTAACCAATAAGAAAACAAACTAAATATTACAAATGGTGAAAACAAATAAAAAGTAATAAATATTGTTTTGCAAGTTAAAAATATCAAATAAAATAAATTTTTTTTTTTTCGTCTTATAACATTCACTTATTATAACATAGAGGAAGTATTGGTTTGTTCTAGAACAGGTGCTTCTTGGACTTTAGCAAGGACCAGCCATGTTGCTATATTCCCAGAGAGAAAACAACAAATAAAACGGTTAAAAAGGCAGCTTTAGAAAGAGTAGACAATGGGATGCCATATTTTCCATGCTCGAACAAACCCTTTAGAAATGGATGGAACAACATAATCACCAAGATACATCCACAAGCCTCTGCCAAGCCCGAACCACCTCCTCCATGACTACAACTTGACCGTTGTAGACGAACCAAAAATCCAGCTAGAGCGGCTAGATTCACCAACATAATAAATGTGCCGGGAATGAAATGACACGAGCTATCAAATTCAAATTTACCTAAGTCTGATTTTGGAACATCATCTTCTCCTTGAGATGACTCATATACTGACCTGGTCTCGGGCATAGTTTTTTTAGCGATTACGAACCCGATTTTCGAGATTCTAAGAAGCTTGAGTATGATATCTTGGATGCTAAATAACCAACTGCTAGTGGCTATTATTCTCCAAATTGATTGAGCGACATACCACGATTGTACCGAAAAACCAAGGTTCATGAATTGCCATAGACTGTAGAGACAATGCATCCCCACAAGTGTAGCTGTTAGGCATAGACAAGGTCCCTAAATCCACACACAAAATATATAAGAAAATATGAAACTTTTTCTTCTAATTAATTCAAGGTCCTTAATTAATTCAATGAAATTAACTAAACTATATTTAGAGAGAGAAAGACACCTTGGGAAATAAGGCAGAGTTGTGGAGTAGGCAATAAGCAGGCAAGAGAAAATAAATTAGCTCAGGGATTGAACTTAAACAAATGAGAACCCAAAAATAAGCTAATCTTTGTCGGAATTTTATTTTTCCGCGGAACATTCCTATCAACGGACTTTGTTTGTTAAAAAGGACTTCGATCGCTCCCGTCGCCCAGCGCCGCTGCTGGACTATCGCCTCTAGTCCTACCGACGGTGTAGATCCAAGAAACGCAGGTGGATCCGGAGAAACGAACGAGCTAGTCCATCCTCTCAAATGGATTCCAATACTGGTGTTTATATCTTCTGCCACTGAATCATATAACCAACCGAGCTGCACAATTTATATCGAAAAAAACACATTACTATGGGTAATGGTTAATAGATTCTTGAAAATTACACGTTAATATTTTGTAAAATGTTTGATTTTGTAATTACGTTGCCCCAACTTGTTTGATACTCATAGTGACAATGCCCTACTTCTTGAGCCGCTTCGATGAAGTATGTAAGGCTTTTTTGGGGATATGATTTTAATTGTAATGCACCCACCACCGATTTCACCATCTCTTTAGAACTCCCATATTTTCTCACTAAACTATCCTCATCCAAAAACTCCCCTTAATGAAATAACAATAACAATCGTGAATGATTTTATATATGAACAGTTAAATAACTAAAATTATGATGAATTGTATGTTAGATGAATGATAGAACATATGTAGGAATGTCAATTAGAATAATGAAAATATTAGAGTGTAATATAATAAGGTGTGTAAATTTTTAAAACTACTTACATGTAGCCACCGAAGAAAGACTTCCGTTGTCTTCTAAATCATCTGAAGATAAACCGTACATAACTCTTCTAGTGTGGAAGCATCCTGAGCCACAATATATCGGTCCTTGGATTCCCGCAACTCCTCGTCCCAAATACTAAATTCGAAAACAAAGAAAACAAAGAAAACAAAGAGAGCAAGTATTGGTCAATAAATAACATTGAATTGATCAAAATTATACGTAAAAATGTAAAAGGAGGAGAAATCCCACTGATTGTAGGACCGCGAATTCGTTGGTGTAAGAATCATAGAACTCTTGAGGGAATTGAACAAAAGCACAATGGTTTGAATTCTTTGAGTTTTCTAAAAATACACACATTGCTTGTCGCACCACATCTGGTTCATTGGCATACATGTCACAGTCTACGTTCAACATGTATGGTGCATTTGTCATCAACCCTGACACTCTTAACTGTTCAAATTCATGTTAGGGCCTTAGGCTCATCACAATTTTATTTTGATAACAAAAAAAGATCTACAATCATTGGTACTTTTAAGTTTTAAAGACATAAATATGGATATCAATTCAAACATATGTATAGTAGTTTTGTGCAAAAATATAGTAGTTCTTTCTATACGTATGAATTTCTCTATATATCAAAGCTCATCATTTCTTTTGTAATCATCATATTTTAACGAAACTCATATATACTAATTTCAAATATTTCATTGCTGGATTAAAAAGATAGGAGACTCTAAGTCATAGTAATCAAACGTATGCTTGATGAAAACTAATCTATATCTCAACCAATATTGTAGTGGTGACAGGCCGAACACAACTTATATATGTACTTACTTTGAAACTCTTAAAAAAAAAAGAGTGATGTGTGAGAAAAATCATTAACCAGAAAGTTCATGGCTCCAGTTTTGTAATGATGAAGATAATTTGGTCTTTTCTCTCTTGAAATGTATACAAGATGAGGGACTTCTTTATCGTCTCCCACACCTCCCTTGTTCTCCCATACCACCTTGACATACATTACAATTTACAAACATTATATTAAACAAGATTTCATACAATTGTTACAATCAAACCTTTTGATATGTGCATAACTTTGGAAAATTGTAAAAAAATACCCTAACGATAAATTTTTCAATATAATAATACCTTAACAATAGTTGAATGATCATTTGGCTTTGTGTTTGAGAAAGCTTCAAAATCTCCGTCTGCATCTAACCAATGCGAATCTCCGGTGGCATCTTCAATTTTCCGGCATAATTTCTCATACTCCCTCTTCATATTGATACAAAAAAGCATAATAATTAAAAAAAAATCAATATATAACATGAAAAAACGTCATATACATATTATTTAAATATTAAAAATGAGCTACTGACTTTTAATTCTATTTTTGAACTTAAAAATCTGAAAAAAACAAAGAGATGAAAATGAAAAGCAAAATATACTTTTTGTTCTCTATAAAAACTGGAAATAGAAACATATGAAAAAAATGAAAAAAAAATTATCAGGATGGTGACTCAAATTTTGTGAACACTGTTTTTGAGATCCAAAACCGAGTCACCAGTTATGATGTTTTCAGGTCGTTCACTCGAAAAGGATAGTTCCAGTCGCCTCGGACAGGTAGAACATGTCAGTTTGAAATTGTTTTCAATAAACAAGACATTAGCTTTGGTTTTTGAAAACAAATTCAAACGTCAACTAAATAATCAAACTCATTACCTTCGTCATTTTCCAATCTTTGCTGAATACTGAATCATCTGTTGCAACCAAAGGGTTTAAGAAATATCTAAAAGGAGCTCTAACTCTAACGTTGTATTTCTTGCAGAAGGGAACCCAAATTTTAGCGAACTTAGAAGCTTCCGTGAGAGAGAAGTAAGTGAGAGGAGAACATCCATCGTCCGACACATAACACGCTAGTTTATTCGTTGGATAATTCACAGCTAACAGCGAAAGCACAGTGTTCACAACAATAATCGGCGGCTCCCTAACCGGATCTGCCGTGGGCACGAACATATCTACTGAAGGAAAGTCATGAACCCTGAAATTAAAAATTTGCAGCAAGTAAAAAAAAAAAGAAATGAATAATATTTCTTAAGAAATAAACTAAGAGCTAGATAGAAGCTAGTTAGGGGTTTATACAAATTTATCATGATTTTCATGTATATTAGGAATTCTTGAAATCCTTACTCCATTAAAATTTATTTTATTTCTAACATTAATTGTCTTAGACGAGACTGTAAAATCTAAAGGATCTAAATCATTGATCGTATCTGAGATAAAATTATATGGATCATTGTTCAAATAATATTAATTTCTAGAGGTTTTAGTGTATTTTTTTAATATGTGTAAATGAAAATGCCAAAATGCTACCTTTCATCAAGTCTATTTGGATAGGGTTTATCTTCAGCAGGACTCCATTTTATGCAGGTAATAATCAACCATATGAATGAGAAACAAGATTCACAGAGAAAAGCCACGAGCCAGATGTTGTCGTTTTCGCTCATATGCATGATTCGGTACAAGAGAAGAGAAAAGAGAAGACCGAGAATCGTTAGATCCACAATTCTTAAAAAGTAGCTTTTGTGTGAGATCCTTTCGCAAAGAGGTAGGAGAGAAGAGCTTGAATCTGCCATTGGAGGAGCTTTTCTTGCGGTTTTTGGATATGAATGCGTGTGTATATAATGTGTATAGAGTGCTGACCAAGTTTTTATATAGAATGTGAATTGAACTAGGTTGGGCTACATTTTTACCGACTTTTTAAAAAATAATATATGTTTTAAAAACTTCTTCAACTAAGTAAAATATTCGCCTTGCGGATGGATTAGCAAACTATGCGTTCTCTTTGGATTTCGGTTTTCTTTCTCTTGATTTTTGTCCTGATGTGGTCCATGAGATTATATTAGACGATTCTCATGGGAAAGAATTCCCGCGTTTAGTTCGTTTGTAATTTTATTTTTTCGTTTGAATAAATCGGGGGAGGCATTGCCTCCGTCTCACTCACCAAAAAAAAAAACTAAGTAAAATATTACTCAATATTTGTTTTAACTTCTTAAAAATGTAAACAGTATCTCATTCCCTTTAAATATTTAATAATATGTTGAAAAAATAAATAATATAATAAACTGAAAAGGAAGATAGAAAATATTAACTTAATTGTGTATAATACATGTTATAGAGTCTCGTAGGGTTATAATCATGTAATATAATCGATATTTTTGAGAATTAAAACAAAAACCTGCAAAATTTCTAAATTATTTTGATTTACTCCCTCTGTGTCATAGTGTCGTTCTACCACTTTTCACATAAATTAAGAAAAATGTGAAAAAAAAATTTATGCCATTTGAGAATACACTATAACAATTTATATCTCTATATGAATAAGATGTAATAACAGGGATAAAAAAGATTAGTAATAAAAACTTCATTGAAAACACAATTAAACATCGTTAATTTAGTTAGGTAGATCTAAGATTAGGTGGTTAGATTAGTTAGGTTTTCATTAAAATTAGAGAATTTTTTAGATGGATAGACTAGTTAGCTTTTGTAATTTGAATAACTAGGTGATTAGGGTATATATGGTTTGTTATATTTAAAACTTTAGTTATTTTTACTTAAATCTAGGTTTGAGTTAATTTAGTTGCTCAAATTAGCAAGACTTTACAATTGAAAATTTTAGATATACTAGTATCATGATTACTAATGTTAGTTGTCATTCTACAAATTGTTTATAGGGTAATATTAAGGAATAGCCAAATAAAACACATAAATTAGGAAACTAGCAGAGAGAAAAGTTTATGTTGCAAAATAGCCATGGACCCACGTTGTCAGAGGATGTGAAATAACAAAACCATCCTTCGTTTGGTTCGAGATCAACAGTAGGCGAGATAGTTTTGTGATATTTTTCAAAATAACACGTAAAATCTAAATTTCACATGTTATATTTAACAAAAAGACATGATACTTCAAAAAACGTTGTGAATTTTTAAGAAAAAACATTGCTACGTATTGTTTTTTAAGAAAAAACATTGTTATGAAAAAATTTAACTTGAATAGAATCTCTTTTTTAAGGAAATAAAATGTGATCTTAATAAAAACCGTGTATTACTAAAAAATAAGAATTTTTTTTTTAAGATATCACATGTGATCTTAATAAAAAAACGTGTATTACTACAAAATAACGTGATAAAGAGAGATATTAAACAGAATAGAATGTTTTTTTCAAGAAATACCATGTACTCTTTATAAATAACGTGTAATACAGAAAATAACACGATAAAAAGAGATGTATTATTCTATCACATGTACTTCGAGAAAAAAACATGTTATAAATGGCATGTGCTCTCCGACATGTAACCGACAAGTTACTGTAGCATATGACTACTTTGTTTATTATCTTCAAAAATTTGGCTATTTTGTGCATATTCTCTCATTTTTTATTCATTTTTTAAAATAATTTACTATATTAAAAATATGTATTTTTAAAGGATACCGTCAAGACAACACTTCCCAACGGCGACGAACAATGACACAGAACGCATGACGTGGTGGTAAATTTTGGGTACGTATATTTCAAGACAAACCAACTACAGTAAAACATGCGGAAACGCAGAAGACAAGGGAGCTGGGTAACAATTCCAATGTCCGGTACATGTTCTTCTCTATCTCAAGTAAAATCTTTATCCTCATTAGCGATAGCTACCACGCTAAGGTTGTAAAGTTCCAGAAAAACAATCATCGAGTTATTTTTTTCTTATTTTGAAAATTTGCTGCTCAGCTCGACGAAGTGAAATTACGATTACCAAACTTTGACCCCGATTTTTTTCACGATTATCAAAGTCACCGCACTGAATTTTGACATAAACTTTAGTGTCATATGTGGAGATTAAAGCTTTTTCTGATTCCCAAGGAACAAAGTTTCTATGTCGAACAATCAAGACCATGCGATCGAGAAACCTAATCCTAAAAATGATGATCCATATATGTGCATGGATGAGGATGTCTACGGTATGATTGCAACATAGTTGAGCAGGACATTCAGACACTCCATGAGGATGTCACTCAAAGGATGTTGAATGAACTACTTACAGAATTTGATAAATACAAATATTTACCAAACCTTGGTGGTTCAAGTCATCAACACCATCGCTAGGCTCAACCGATGAACCAACCACGTCTGGAAGCCATGAATTCAGCAAGCATGAGCAATCCATGAGTACATATGAGCGCTGACCATCCAATTCTTTAGAATGTTTTTTTTATTACAACATAAAATTTCGCAAGAGAATATTTGTAATGACAATCGACATCATGGGAGTACAAATTTTTACACTTTTAAAGAGATTTTGAATGTGCGGGCCCATCTTTTGACCATCTTTTCATTACAAAATTGTACATTTTTTCATTTATCCTAAGAATTTTTGTTAAAAGTTTAAAATAAAAAAGTAATTACTAGTTAAAAAGGCTGTTAAGAAACAAAATAAAAAGACACACCAAGAGTGAATAAAAAGAAACATAAACTTGACAAGGAACATATAACATGTACAATGAGAGGAAAGAACAATCTTAAAATTAGTGAAACAAGGACTAGGATTGAAAAAAGATTTAAATAAATCTGAAAATCACGTGAAAAGATCCAAAGAAATAAAGAAACAACAAACACACCTTATTGTATAGACCACGGGTTGCTTTTGGGATAAGGAAAGAACCTACCAATGGAAAATGAACAAACCTTAGCCCAGGGTCGGCCTATCGCTATATACTATTTTCCCAAAGAGAAAACAACAAATAAAACTGTCAAAAAGGCAGCTTTAGAGAGAGTACACAATGGGATGCCATATTTTCCATGCTCAAACAAACCCTTTAGAAATGGAAAGAACAACATAACCACCAAAATACATCCACAAGCCTCTGCCAAACCCGAACCACCTCCTTCGTGACTACAACTCGACCGTTGTTGACCCACAAAAAAAATAGCTAGAGCGGCTAGATTCACGAACAAAATAAATGTGCCGGGAATGAAATGATGCGAGCTATCAAATTCAAAATTACGCAAGTCTGATTTTGGACCATCATCTTCTCCTTTAGTTGGTTTATCAGGCATAGTCTTTTTAGCGACTATGAACCCGATTTTCGAGATTCCAAGAAGCTACAGTATGATATCTTGGATACTATATAACCAACTGCCAGTGGCTATTATCCTCCAAATTGATTGAGCGACATACCACGATTTTACCGAAAAACCAAGGCTCATGAATTGCCATAGACTGTAGAGACAATGCATCCCCAAAAGTGTGACTATTATGCCTAGACAAGGTCCCTAATTCCACACACAAAAGATATAAGAAAACATTAAAAAATATGTTTAATTAATTAATTCTATGAAAGTAAATTGAACTAAATTCAGAGAGAGAAAGATACCTTGGGAAATAAGGCAGAGTTGTGGAGTAGGGAATAAGCAGGCAAGAGACAATAAACGAGCTCAGGGATTGACCTTATACACATGAGTGCCCAAAAATAAGCTAATCGTTGACGGAATTTTATTTTTCGGCGGAACATTCCAATCAACGGACTTTGTTTGTTAAAAAGGACTTCAATTTCTCCGGTCGACCATCGCCGCTGCTGGAATATAGCCTCTAGTCCTAATGACGGCGTAGATCCAACAAACGCAGGTGGATCCAACAAACGCAGGTGGACTTAAATCTTGAAAATGAAATGTTAATATTTCGTAAAATGTTTGATTTTAGAATTAAATGATTAAATTGAGAAGGTACTTACGTTGCCCCAACTGGTTTGGTATTCGTAGTGACAATACCCCACTTGTTGAGCCGCTTCAGTGAGGTTTTTAAAGTTTAGAAAGATTGTTTAAGAACTCAAAAATAAAGAATAACTCTCTTTATTAATCACCAAAGAAAATAACTCAAAACTTTGGTCTCTCTCAATCTCTTAAACACAATCTCTCAAGCCCTCTCTCAAAACTCATAAGGCTTACCATACCTTGGTAGCTCTATATATAGAGAGAATTCTAACACAATTTCCTAATCCAAATAGGTAAACTAACTTATTTAGATATCTCCTAAATAGAACTATTCCTAATTGGATTAGAATTTCCTTTTTCCTTAAGTTTCCTTCTTCTTCTTCAAGCTTATCCCAACATTCTCCCCCTTAAACTTGAAGTCACCTCCACTCACATCTTCAACTCCAATAAGATCTCTCATTTCTTTAATCTTAATCCTTCCAAGTGTCTTTGAAGTAGCATCTCGCTCCTTTCTTAAAGACTGATTCTTTTCTTCATTCACATTTTCAAGTTCATTCTTCAGTTTCCCTATCTCTTTCTCAATTTTAGAGAATTCTTCTTCTGCAATACCTAGCTGCTGTTCAGATTCCTCACGATCCTTCTTTTCTTTAGAAACAGTCATCTCCAATAACGAGATTTTATCCTTAAGATCAGTAATCTCAGATTCCATATCGAGCAATCTACCATTGCTTCCTTCCAGCTGCTTTGTCATAAATAACAGAGATGCCGAGGCAGATCTCTCCAGCTTGTTAGCTTCTTCCAATCGTTTCTCCAATTCTTTTGCTTTGTTTTGCCACTCTTCAAGTTCTTCTTTTAGCACATACAACTGAGTTGTGTAGTCTTGTTCAACAGCTCCACCAACATCACCTTCCAGTACACTCACCTTCTCTAAATTACCTTTTTCAAGTTCAGAAATCATCTTCTCTTTCTCACTCACACC